TTTTTTTTTTTCTCCCGTCATTTCGACCTCCACCGCGCGCGCGAACGTCTCTCCCGTTGGCGTGCCGAAAAGAAAAACAACAAGAAGAAAAAGCAAATATACATAAAATCACCGAGGGGAAAAACGAAAAAGAAAAAGAAAAAGAAAAGACAAATCTAACTCGGTGCCTGTAGTATATCCGCTAATCCCGACTTGCATTTTCTGGTCATTGTCAATCCCAACAGTGGTCCAGGTGCCTCTCCATTACCCGATGCCAACTACGTGCGCGAGGTCGCTCGATTGAATCGTTATGCCAACGTGGTCACCGTAGGTTACATCGCCATTAACTACTGCAAGAAGCCCCTCCCGGAAGCCTTGGAAGAGGTCCAGACATATGCCACCTGGGCTGATGATTACGAGAGAACTGGTCTGGGCGTGGGAGGCATCTTTCTCGACGAGACTCCGAACCTCTACTCGTCCGAAGCTGTCGAGTACCTGACCAGCTTACAACATCACATCAAAGGCACGCCGGGGCTTTTAGGTAACCGATTGGTGAGATACCTTGTCCCCACCCCTGCCGATCAGTAAACGCAAAGAAACCTTCTCTCCCATACCCAATCAGAACCGTACCACACATGTCCGAGAAGGAGAGGAGAAAACTCGATATTGATCTTCTTGAGGATTGTCAGGTCATCCAAAACCCAGGAACACCGCCAGATGCGCCCCTGGCTAATATAGGACCCGATCTGATCCTGACTTGCGAGGAACCTTATTCTCGCTATCGGTCGAATGAAGTCCAGTGTCGCCTCCGCCAACTCCATTACGATCGGGCCCGATGTGGATATATGATACACTCGGTACCGCTGGAACACTTGCGCCCCCTGGTGCACGAACTACGTCATAGGGCGGCGTACCTTTTCATTACTGAGTTTTTCGGTGAGTTCTACGAGCGCTTTGGGCCGAGTAGCTGGACTGCTATGGTGGAGGCTTCCCAGTCGGAGAGGGTTGAGCAATGAGGACTGTGGTGCTGTGGAGCAGCGGCAGCGGCTGTGGCTGTGTGGCTGAAGAGGAAGTTCCGCCGGGTCAGAATTTTTTCTTTCGACAAGCCCTTACCCTACCTATCTTTGTTTCTCAATATAGCAACAACACCCCGCCAGTGTTTCATGTATTGTGTCCCTTGGAAAAGGTTTCCCCGGAACAACCCAGTAAGGTTCCTGATGGGTGGTTTATCCATTGTTTTTCCGGCTTACTCTTTTGTTTCTACCTATTTGCTTCTTGATCAGTGTGGATAGGATAGAGCGGATCACTTCGGGTTCCTAAGCGAACATCTCCGAGAACGGACCAAGAAGAATTATAGACTATTTCTCAAAACTAGGTAGACAAAATAACCACACTATTCCCTACTAAATATCCTCCTCTCAACCTCCACTACAATATACAAAGATCCTAAGTATAGGCAACTACATAGGTAGTCTCTCCCACATAAAAAAGAAAACCCATAGTAGTAGTACCACCAAACCCATGGTTCACGCTAGGGACAAAAAAAAAAAAAAAAAAAAAAGGCTGCTCGTTTCACCAGTGGAACCAACAAATTCTGGTTCCTCAGGTACAACCGCACAACCGATCAAACTCCTTCAGGGGAAAAGTGGACCCCCTCCCAAACTTCCTTCTTCTCAATCCCGGCACTTGCTTGGTTACGCATTGACGACACCATAACCGTAGAAAAATGGGCCCCGGCTGCAGCCTCTGAAAGTAAAAACAAAAAAGTCAGATCAGCTCGTGCTCGGCAATTCGAAAAAGATAAAGTTAGAACATCTAGATTTGGGGAACCTAACATAAAAGGGGAAAAAAGGGGGGCGCTTTTGGGGGTCTGGAAAGGGTCGGTTCATGTAAGGGGGGTTCGAATTTCTGCCAAGCTTTTTCCTTTCTTCTTCTGTTTTTTGGAGGGTTTTCAGATGGGACATTCTCGTTAGAAGGAGGGGCTGGACTGATGGTGTATGTATTGGATTGGGTGTAGGTAGGGGGGGTTTTTTTTTTTTCTCTTAAATTGGGTTTGGTTGTGGTTGAGTTGAGGTATGGAGGGGTGTTTTCTGGATAGGTAGATGTGCTGTGCATAGTTCTGTTCTTAGAATAGACCAGAGTCCTTACATTGGAAGAGATGGTTGTCATATTATTATTGGGAGGGTGGTGCAGATGTCGTAAGGTAGGGGATATGCATGATGCTTGCATCGGATTGATGACTGACTGGTCTGGAGGGCTGGGCTGAGCTGAGCTCAGGTGTTATCCATCTTGGTCGTTTTTTTAGTGAGTGTGGTGGGACCAATGCAATCCGGTATATAGGTCTGTGATGGGATTCTGGAGCAACAGAGTGCTTTGAGTGCACTCTCCGGCCTGGATCCTAGCATGGACATGTCTTGCCAACTGCCAAGAGTCCTGCAGCGTGAACCATCGCTGTGTCGTCTGTGCCCATCTGGGAGTTCTGGTGATGACCGTCCCAGTCGGCCATAATCGCTGTACCAACCCTCCCCTCATAACCACTTCTATGGGTGAAGATGATCAAGGGCCGTGTGGCCGTAGGACTAATTATCGTCTTATTGTGCTTCTTCCTAGCAGTCTCGTGGTCGTCCATCATCACGTTTGGTAGTATCCGCTATGGCTCTCTGGACTAAAACAGTGTCTTTTCAATAAAGTAGAATCTCGGTATATAGCCCGTTGCGAAGGCTGTATTAAGTCAAATCCTCTGTTAACCTAATACCAAACAGAGCCCCATCGTGCCTGCACCTATCGTATTACCCTTGCTCTGAAAGGGTATACTACCGATTCAATTGCATTTGACTGGATTCAGCACTTCGATCTTCATACTAGACCTCGTCTTCTGCTTTTCAATGGCCATGGGTCATATTTGACGTACGAATTCATCCAGTTCTGCGAGCTAAATCGCATCATTCCTTGATACTTTCTGTCTCATACAACTCATACAACGCATCTCATGCAACCGCTCAATGGGCAACATTTTCAGGTGTATAAACACTACGTTAGGAAGCGAATAATAAGCTTGCTCAGACAGGCAATGAGATAGAAGCTAAGGGCGATAATCTGCGCGAAATCGCATCTATTCGTGCAAAAAACTGTATGAGATGCCTGGAGAAAACGAGGTCTCTATCTGTTTAATCCCAACGAGGTAATAGCGCCTCCTCTTAGGGATAAAGACCCTACCCCGAACTCGAGAAATACACAGCTCCACCGCCTATACCTAGTTCTTCGTTTCCATCTACTATACGAGGACTGCATCGAAGCATAGGCAAAGACTAGGGCTACATTGATAATAGTCCTGAACTTGATAGGATTCTGTACGGCACGTCATTGCCACCAGATTGTGCACTCTTATACGCAGGAATTCAAACACCCGCAGCTTGGCAATCTGTCAGGGTCTGTAGCTTGTGTCGAACCTCCGTGGTCTTGTACTCCCTTTTTGACTTTTTGAAACTCTTCTCTACAGTAACTCTCTAGAGCTCTTCCTTGTGCAAATAATCTCTTCGTCTGATTTCTCTTTTGAGGTTGATGAGCTTCTTCACCAGTCCGGAGGCATTCGTGTCCTCGTTCTCTGTCGAGGAGTCGTCCGAAGTCACCGCTTCACGTTGGGGTCCTGGTTCTTCTTCTTTCGCCGTGAACGCGTGTTTCTCTGCTCGGTATCGATCTCTTGCTCTCGAACTTAGTGAGTCGGTGGTCTTGTGGTGCATTTTGGCCTCGCCAACCGTGGCGAATCTTCGTGCTGGTCGCGGTTGAGCGGTTCAGGGGTTCGCATCTCAGCCCGTCCCGACATTTTGCTCCAGTATCTCTCGTCACTATGTGATCGACACTAGGATTCACTTTTGAATGCTTTACAAGTCGATTGTAATTCAAAATTGCCCTTGTAGTGGCGTTATTGGCTCTACAGTTACCTCTACTGCCCGCGGTAGGGGATTCTCACGCTCACTCTAGTTCATCATCCAGACTGAACTGGAGCGTCTGGGGTCACCTTACAACTCCTGTTTTACACCATGATCTTTTCAGGTTATATGGTTTGTACATGTTCTATCTAGTGAATCAAGCAGTGGTTTATGGCATTCATGCATGGCTTGCTTCGATTAATCCGTCTTCGACAACGGTTTTAGTAGCAGTGGTTGTCTTGGCTTGCAGGCCGAGATGGTCTCACACGGAGTCGTCACGGCCTTGGTCGATTAAGTCGATGCTGGTGTGATGAGGGTGCTGCTGATCCAATCCGTGCAAATCTCCGCCTCGTTGCCTTCACAATCGGAGTCTTCCGACTTGCAATCCTTACCCACGCAGATTCCATTCTTGCAGTCCCGACCCGTGCAGCTCACGACGAGACAATCTCGGTCTGTGCAAGTAAAGTCGTTGCTAGAGCACTGCTTGCCGAGACATCCCCACGACAGGTATTCCCAGCCGAAGCAACCACTAGAGCTGCCGTCACAGTCAAAACCGACGCACCCATGATCTTGGCAGTCGGATCCAGAGCAATGATCATCCTCGCAGTCCTTTCCCCTGCAGCCGGTGGGCTTGCAGTCATCACCCCCAGTGCACACTCTGTTGTTGCAATCCTTTCCAGTACAGCCTTTCTCAATGTATAAGTCACCTGTGCATTTGCCCTCCTTACAGTCCGGTCCCGCACATGGAGTGACTGATGGTGGGTTACCTGACAGAGTCTGAAGACAATGGCTCGCAAGACCAGGATGTCAGTGATGCGACACTTCTCTTTGCCGATAACGAGCATCCGCCAGAGTACTATATCCACCAGCTTGCGAACTTCGATGAGACGGACTATACAGAAGAGTACTACGGAAAGGGTACCACTGCCCTACGTGATCGGGTGGAGGATGGGTGGTCACAGTAAGGCTCATTCTTTCAATCACTTATACACATTTGCCTGACTCTAGTCTCCATAGCTTCTGCGCCTTTCTTTGAAAAGAACCTCGGGAGGAATTCGCACGCCTGTCGATTAGGACCATGCATACTTTCCTGAAAAGGGTCCTTAATCGATGACGTGGAAAGGTGGTGAAGACTAATCATTCGAGGGCAGCGTACACAGCCTTCTCGAATTCTGCCAGAAGCTCGACAGCCCTCTGATCGCCCGTGGGGAGAAGTTGAGACAAATAAACCCCAGCGGCGCCCTTTTCAATATCCATCCACTGTCTACATGTCAGTGATCTGCGGAGTGGGGTGCTATGAAAGTATTCGGGAATATGCAGTGAGGTCAAAAAATACTTACCCAGTAGCAATTGGGCAATCCGGACCACGTCAGCGAATACTGACCACGGCGGCCTGGCACCTCGACGGTATTGATCAAACCACCAAGGCCATAGTCGACGGGGATTGTGTTAGGAACGGCATTGTAGATTGCATTCCGAGTCGCCAGATCGTACTCCTCTCGGTTATCAAGATGGTTGCGTTTCTCAAGGTGTGGCTTAAACATCTGTTCCACAGTCTCCGGCCGTAGCAACTTCCCCTGCATGACACCAGCGTAGATCTTCAGGAGCTCGGGAACATTTGTGTAGATGCCACCACCTCCAATATCGTCACTAACTGGTTCCGGCCACCAGAAATCGGTGACCTCTTTCAATCCGTCATTATTTCTCTCCCACAGCTTTACCTTTCGCGCCTGGAGATCCGGTCTTTCGTGAAGATGAAAGGTAATGTCGCTAGCCCCAACAGGAACAAACATATTCTGCCTCATGTATTCGCCTAGCTTCAGCCCGGTCACATGCTCAACCTAGTCGTATCATGATCAGCGAGGCTCAGATGATTTTTGTACAGACTGCAGGCTATTTCGGTTTCAACGACCCACCATCAATCCAGCCCACTCCAGCCCAGGGCCATACAGCCATTGTTCTCCAGGCTCAAACACAAGGAAAGTGGGGAAAGATTCCCTCTAGACGACTTAGTTAATGGGGTCCAGTTTCGCAAGTGTATCCACGTACGATAGTCTGAAGTACCAGAGGTCGCTCGCCTTGCAATTCCTGGTAGCGGATACACAGGGGATGCATGAACGTATAGGCGAGCCCAGCTGAATGAGTGATGAGGTGTCTTGAAAACCCATTTAGCCTTCAAGGAACGATTCGCGCAATATGACGAAAGTACCATACCGAAGTGTAAGGGGCCGTTTTGCGCGTCGAAACTGGGGTTCATTCTTTTCATCGAACCCGATCAATATCTTAGGATCTTTCCACTCTGGCAAAATGCGGGATATATCGGCATCAAGCTCCAGCAGACCCCTTTCGACACATTGCATAACAGCGATACTCGTGATGAACTTGGTTGCGGATGCAATCCAGTGAATATCATCCGGCTTGGAAGATTCCGCTGAGTTACCATCGAAACACTTCACGTAGTGCAAGGTCCCTAAAATAATCAGAAAGTGATGATCAAGCTGCGGTTGTCGCACATGAAGATACCATCTCGATTCACAGCGCCAAGCGTGACGCGTGGCAGCGGTGGCCCTTCCTGACCAAGGAACGATTCAATAGCGTTGTCGATAGAGCACATTGCAAGAGCAGATTTTTCCTTTCTTTTGATGTTACGTTGGGAAGGGATGACTTCGGTGTTGATAAGAAATACTGCTGTTTAACAGAACGCGGTTCATATGCAAGACCTAGGCTTTTCCTTTCCCACCCCCACCCGATAATTATAGAACCACTTATATAGCCTCAGACAAGCTCCCGAAGATATTCCGAATTAAGCATTATGAAATGAAATTTCCGGTATTATTGATGTATTATAGGATTATTTTTCTACTTAATAATTCATCAAAACTATAACTATATAGAAAACTATGTTTTAAAACTCTAGAATCTCTATTTCTCTCTTTCTATAGTTTTAGTAATATACTAATATTTCTATTGCAAAGTATATTCGCGAGTCGCGACTCCCGATGCAGACCTTCCTTCTTTCACTATCATTTCCTCGCTCAGATTGCGCATCGTATACTCTTGACCAGAACCAAAAACCCTATCTTCTATTCAAGTAAGGGGATTCTGTCCCTTCGTTGATTTACCGCTTACGCTGAGCCTTCATAGCCCCGGATGGCAGGTACCCCTCGCCTTCTCTCAAGGAGGAGCTGTCGCACCAACTTATACAATAGCGAAATCAACTACCTCCCGCTCGGAAATTTGGTGAAAACCGTCCTTTCCACGCATCAAAGTCTCCAAATGATGTTCTGGTTGTCTCTTGGCTTCGGCCACATTATATGATTGCGAAATTCCACATGGGTAGACCATTACTGTGAGATAATGCTGCCACAAGATTCTCAATCGCCCAAATGAAGCGACGGATGATGAACTGAAAAGGTGCGAAAAATTTCTTGACCATATCCTTGATTGACAGCCATTTATAGCTATTATTGGTATTATGAAAAGCTGTATGCCTCTTAAATTCAGTATCGCGACCCAGTATGTTCAGAAGCAAGTCCTATAGGTTGTTTGGTCAAATACTTGCCGTGTATTGCTTCCGGTATCATTCTGATATCCGTATACAGGAGGCCTTGCCATCTGAATATCAATATTGGTGTGCCTTTGCCCTCAAGTTCCTACAGGACACTGAGATTGCGTCTAAACTTTTGCCAAGACTTAGTTTAAGTACGACCTACTTGCCCCCTCACAGTACGCGCTAATTGCTTCATTTTCTGCTGCATCACAATTTGACTGTACGCGGGTTAAATAGGAAGTTGGCCTAATGCGACTATATACAGGATGAACTAGAGACCCCAACAGGGGAAACTCACTTCACCCATTCAGACTGCAGGCTGCACCTCATCAAGGGTGGGAACTTTATCCATCTTCAATCCAAAGAATCGAGCAACAAATTGAATGCAATCACACAGGACCTGCGTGTCTTTTCTTTGATACGTTGATTCTTCTAGCTCCTCTGATGTGCCAGAAAGTTTCATTCCTCAGGTTTGGAATCATGATGCTTGCCAAGACACCGACCTCAGTATCGACATCATTGAGGACTTGACGATCGGATAGGTATAGGCCGGACGTGATTTCTTTTGAAATCCATTGAAAATCCCGATGAGCTTTCAATGAGCCCATAGTGTAATCCTCGTCGTGGGTATATACAGACCGGAATCATCTCATGCCTCGCTCATGGTTTGCTTTATCGCATTGCCAGTTCCACCTGGTCTGACCGTAATCCCGATCTTTTTTTTGCTCCCTGACCAGTTCCAAAAATACCTCAAACCTGGGAATTGAGAAGAGCCAAGCAATAGAGACCTCCTTTGACGGTGTCCTCGCTAGTGACTTTTGCTTACATCTGTAAATCCCGCAGAGACATACATATGTGCCTACAGCTCTTGTAGCTTCTTCAAATTTTCCTTCGATTCCGAGACTCATTCTTAAGAATCATCGAGAGAATAGAGTATGATAACATAATATTTAGGTGATAGCGTAATAAGACTATTATCCATCTACGATCTAGAGTGCGGGGAAGACAGTAGAGAGAACACCTCGTCTGAAAACATTAATTGGTATTCATGTTATATACATCATGGACGATTCATAGTCAACAAGGGAAAGTCAACCCTTAGTAGTGACGGTTAATGGCCTCCTCAGCCTCTTTCTGGGCATGGTACTTCGCCTTCTCCTTGTCAATGAAGTCGAGGCCCTTGGTCTCGAAGAGACGTTCGACAGCAGCGGCGGCCAAGCCAGCGCCGATCTCCTTAGCCTTGGTATGGCTCTGGGGTTTTCCTATAGTAGGGAAGAATAGAATCAGCCTATGTGAACAAATTGACTGAAAGAGAATTGGAGACAATACCGTTCTTCGCCTCGTGGTCGTTGTAGGCCTTCATGGCCTCGTAGGCAGCGGCACCGCCGATGACCTGGTGAGACCAGTGTCCCTGGTGGCCTTCGGTGCCGTTGACCTCCTGGTGGGCGCGGGCGTTATCGTGATCGTCGCCTAGAGGACAGCAATTCCAGTCAGTATATCATTTAGAGCGAAAGGGGACTGGGGGCAAGGACAACACACCGAACCAAGTCATTGTGTTTGGATGAGAGTGGTCTGTTTGGGGAAAAATCAGAAAAAGATGTGATGGATGAGGAGAGAGAAAAAGAAAAGGAGAGGAGGAGGAGAGGCAGACAGGCTATTTAGATTGATCCCAGAGCCCCCTAACCAAATAGATCGGCATTCAGCTCAAACATCGATCGTTGCGGTGAGATACGATTGTATCCACTGCCGGGCCACAATGATATCCACCTTTTCATGTGCCTCCTCTTTCATTGGATTGAGAGTGGTCTCCGCTGCTCAGCTGAGCCTCCACAAGGCAAAGATGGAGCCACTCTCACGCCATTTGACCATTTTCAGGGGCTTGTAGGAAGAGGGGTTGAGCCTCTATGGAGTGTTTTCATGGAGGGGCGGAGGGGTTCAGGGCTGAGGGCTGAGGGCTGAGGGGTAGAACAACGCATAAAATGGAACTTTGTTCCGATCGACCATTCCGTCCACATTCCTGTACGTAAGCCGAGGAGTCACCACCCACGGAACGGAACTGAAATGAGTCCGAGTTCGGTCTCAGAGGAGAAGTATCGAACGACGTTTCTAATCTTTAGGCCAAAATTTGGCTTATACAGAGACATCTAATATGCAGAAAAGATGGCTTAAGGATACAAGTACAAGTTAACGGTTCTGTTCAGTACGCTTAACCACCCCCTCCTCCCCTGGGAGAATTGTTGTTCCGCTCTGGTAGGGCTTAGTGATACTTGGCATTAAGGCTTGAGATCGAAGCCAAGATTATGAGGGTCACCGAGGAAATTGAGTCACAAGACCATCTTGCTATAAAGGTCTAGAGAAATGCAACCAAGAGCACTACCCATCTTTCCAATGTCTCCGATATCATATTGCAACTATCTTGCGCCACGACCTATACCAATTGACTTGTAAAAACACCATTCGACTCAAGGGTGCCATGTTAACCCCGCCAACCTGAAAATGCCAAAGCCCGAGTGTGGCGGAGCCCATTGAGCGAGATCGAAATCCACATGCTTCGTATCATGGAAGCCATATTTCTTGAAAAACTCATAGACCTGCGGCTCGGCGCTAACGGCAACAGGAACGCCCGCAGACCGTGCCTTGTTGAACACATAGTCCATCAGATCCTTTCCAATACCGCGATGACGGTGTTCAGACTTGACAACTATGTATGTAATCTCTGATAAAGCAGAAAGCATGTTAGCCACTATGTTAGGGGACAATCAGAAAAGGAAAGAAGGTAGATGCTTACCATAGCGGTCGGTGGTCTTTACTTCTTGGTCAATCGTGGCAACTGCTTCCAACACCGCCGTCACGACTTCAGGGGCGAAGAAGTCAGGGAGGTCCGGCTTTTTGATCCCCCCATGGGACTGTTCCGGTCTCTCTACCGGTCGGCGGCGGTTAAGAGCGAGGTGGCCGATGACTTCACCGGTGACATTGTCAACTACAGTCCGAGATTCGGGTGAATCCACCTCGATGCCTTCCAATGCACCGAGATAGTTCTGCCGTTGGACAGCTTCATTGGGCCAATTCTTGAACAAAAGGCGGTTGATAGTTAGAGCCAGCTTGGAGGTGTACAGAAGATCACCCAGCGCAGGAATATCGGATAATTCGACTGGACGAATGGTGTAACTGTGAGCGGTCATTGTGCTTGATGTGATAAAATGAGGTACAGAAGGAGAGATGTTGTGCTTTCATTTGGATTGAGAGGGGAAATCTACGGCTTAAGTATCTTTGCCTGAGAGGATGTTGAATGTGTGGCACAACATCCCAATGGCATTTGACGACTTCAGGCAACGAGATATACTGTTTATTTTGTAATATCCAGCGTAGATGCTGTAGCCTGGTAGGCATCAAAATAAAACGACCTCAAGTGGACCCAGTCTTGAGGTATCGGAATTCCGAATGCGGGACACCGTGCAATCTAGTAATCTAGCGCTAAATGCCAGGAACACAATCCTTAGTCTAATATTGCCTTTATATAGATCGGGAGACTTCAATATCGTTGTAGGTCTATATTTTTAGTATTTCAAACAGAGTAAATATACAGTGACATTATAAGTACATCAATCTCGGGGTGCCTCGCCTTCAACTAAGAGATTTCTTTTTACGACAATTTTTTACTGGTAGATATTTTCGAAGACTACTAGTATTAGAATATCTTGAACACGCTATATCATGATGATCATAATTGAGAGCTTGCCAGAATTGAATGAGTGCTACTACTACCTAAGCCTAGCAGGAACAAGAATGGAAGCTGATGATTGTGGGTCCGCTTAGGTAATCAATCGATCATCTTGTCCCGCCGACCTGCAACCACGCCGACCCAATCAGGGCTGCCAGCCGGAATAATCCTCCAACAGAATATCTCTTTCCACCATACAGATGGACATATATGCACAAAAAAAATAAAATATCGCATCTTCTGGGGCCACTTTTGATAGATAATTTTGTAGAAGAAGAGCGGTCACAATGAGCAAGGGGTTGCGCTCTATCTCTCATGAATAAACATCAATAAAAAGACTGGTTCTTGGGACACTTGAGCAACAAAATAAAAGAGACGGGAAACGAAAAGGGAAGAGGACATGCATTAAGGATTGGAAGGACTGGCACAAGCCACCAAAAGTATAGAATGGGGGATTCCACCTATCATAATCTTATAACCCGGAGTGGATCGTGTAGAGTTCAGACAGCTCATCCCTTTAGCACATTTTGGCACTGGCGCTCGATTTGCATCTTAGCAAAACCAATCAGCTGCTCTAGATATGTAGATCATAGAGTTCAGCTGTGGTTTGTTCACTACCTAATTAACAGCTGAAGAGTGTGGGGTGCTAATGTCACTTTGCGAGCTCTTAGCTAAAACCAAAACATTTAAATTCAGTGTAGTCTCATTCAGTGGTAAAAATTTCTCTCCCCTAGTCTTCAACCCAGCTGTCAATTCTTTCATACTCTGGAATCGAAATCATGGCTACCATCCGCCTAGATGTCAACCTCTTCAACGCCAAAGATGACTCGGTCAAGAGGACGAACTGTGTTCCTTTGAAAGAGTTTGACATTAGTAGCAAGAAGCTTTCTGACGTGCGATCGGTGCTTATTGAGAACGGTGGCTTGGATGCCAGCAAGTATGTTTCCTGTGTCTATGTATTGGATTGTGCTGATTGTATCATAGGGTCGGATGTTCGTTCTGCTCACCGACGGGGGCTCTGGTCAACGATGCTTCGTCCTTCTCGGATTATGTGGATATTCTATCTGAGGGAGGAGAGGTCTGTTGCGGATTCTAGCTATTCTTTGGAATTTGGAAAATGCTCACTAGTTCTAGGAGAAGGAGGGCGGTGATAAGAAAACGAAGAATATCTACAATGTCTACGTCTACCTGAAGAGCAAAAAGACTACCACTGGCTTAAGTGATGAAGCCAAGGAGACTATTAAGAAAGAGCTCAATCTCAAACTCAGCGTGAGTTCTCAACACACTGCTTGCCTCATTATGTATTGACCTGACCATTTAGGATAAACCGGAATTGCTCAAAACCTCACTGGACCAGCTCACCAGTTCCTTCAACAAAGCCGACTGGCTAGCGGAGGCTAGCGAAGGTGCTACGTACGGCTTCATGATCAGTCGATTAAACTTCTTGGACTTACTGACTGTACTAGCAACCCTGCCGATATGTCGGAGAAAGAATGGAACGTTGTCATCCGCAACAATAGCCTCACCAGCGCTTCTCGATTAGTGTTTTCCAATCTGGGCCGAGCATCGGATGGAACCAAAAAGCTCAAATTCCGTCGAATTGAACGTGCACCATACAGTGGTATGTAAAAAAAAAGAAAAAAAAAGAATCTATACCTATTACGATTGGATATGGTCTAACTGGTGTAGCCTTTGTGTTGAAGCCGAGAAAGTTCCAGCCGCATGAAATTTCGGATTCAGAGGTCAAGGTCGAGGTAAATTCTGATTTCCTTTTGATAATAACTATGATGATAGAATGGTGCTAATTTAATAGCAACGATTCCATATTCCCCGGTTTGTTGTGGCAGATGATTCGTACGTGGATACGTTTGAGACTAAATCGTCCGTGGCAACGGCCATGGCTCGCAGCTCCTTTTCCTCCATCGAGGCTGAAGCTTCTATGTATGCATGATATCCATATTCGAACTATAATCTCCATATAGCCCCACATCGGGTATGCTAACAGTTCTTAGTGAAGGAGGGGCGTTTGGATTCAGTGCCGCTGTCAGTGCCGGTTTCTCCTCGAGTGAAAGCAGTGCCTTGAGCAAACAGAGTACCGCAGAAAGCAGCGTGATGAACATCACCTACAATGTAAGTTTTCAAATGAGAATATACGCCCTGAGGCCTCATCTAATCAGGTATTAATAGTTCCCTCGGGTGGTGTTGCATTTGGATGAGTACAGTCTGGCACTATCGGATGAATGTAGCGAGGATCTCATGAGGGTCAAGGATGTTAATTCTCTGATTGCCTTTCACCATAAATACGGTATGGATATACACCTCCTAAGTTTAATAATCCGCGATATTGACACCAACACCAACAGGCCACTTTTTCGCCACCCGCGTCGAACTCGGTGGGAGACTGTTTTCATCGGAAAAGTTCAGCACGTTGGGTACAAGTAGCGAAAGTGAAGCTACAAAGCAGATGAAGATCTCAGCTAGTGCCTCATTCTCATCCAAGTTTGTGTCTGGTAGTGTCAGTTACAGTCAGGAGAATGGACAGTCGGCACAGGACAGCGATTCCAGGCGGGGTATGCAGAGTTCTATCTCATGGCAAGCCCAGGGTGGTGATACCCTTCTTTGCAACAAGCAAGTCACCCTTTTGTTTACCTTGATTACATGAAATATGTGCTAATAATATATTTTAGCCCTCCTGCCTGGTGTCCTACGGTCGCCCCGTTCCAAAACTGGCGTGTCATCAAGGTATTTCGGTTGATCCAACGGTAAATTATGAAATCTCAGGTGCTAATTTCCTCTAGCAAGAAGACGTGATCCCTCTGGGCGATTTCATCGGCCGGATACCAGGCTACGAAGATATTCCAGACAAGTTCAACAAACTAGCTGAAATCACTAGAAGGAAGGAAACGGTCAGCTTCCGGCTTGGCCTTGATACATGGCAACGCGCAGACGAGAAGAAGCCAGAGTATTTATCACTCCATCACGCGTGGAGAATTCGTATGGACACCTATACGCTATCCGTACAAACGTATACTAACCTTAACAGGCCAGGAAGTCACTCAATTGTACGCTAAAGAACTTGCGAAGGACCCCGTGGCGACCATGAAAGCTTTACAAGGAAACTTCTGGGCCAGTAAGTACAACCCTGATGAAGGAGAGGTTCACAGCTGATCTAATTAGTGTATCAAATTCCCTCCTCGATCCAGGGGTTGTACGATGCTGGTCATCCTGGATTGGCATTTGAAGACAACAATAGCGAAAATGTGTTTGACGTTGAAGTCGAAACCCTGTTGAACCAAGCTCCAGCCGTGCGTTTCCTATGATAACTATACATACGAATATACACTAATCCAGCAAAATAGCTACAATATGCAAAACGATACCATCTCTTCAACCGCAAAAGGGGCCTGTGGCTACGCTCCATTATACTCAACGAAAACGGGAAAGAGATAACACTGTTGGCTGCTGGACCCAAGCACGAGGCAACACTATTCGAGTTTCGTGACAGGGACCGAGAGGGACCCATGCGCAATGGGGACAATTGCACTCTGTTGGCGTACGGACCAGATGGCAAGCAAAAGGGTATTATTGCGTTGTCATTGCGCGGTGAAAAAGCAGGTGAGGGTGTGGACGATGCGAAGTCGATTGGAGCATTGCCATACAGTGTTCCGAATGAAGGTCGCATTCGTTTCACGGTGCTTGAAATGGTAGACCAGGGAGATGTTCCTGTTTGATTTATGCATTATATCTTGGATCTAATGCTATGGACAAACTGTTCAGAATCCAAGAGATACGGACTGGTGTTTCGAAGGATAAAGTTACGTTTACAGAATTATGGAAGAAGTGGCTCAACGAGAGTGCGATTACGACCTCGTTTCGATAGCATAGTCTATATAGGAGTATATATAACTACAGTTGACGCCTAGCATCTTCTAGAATACCTGTAAACCCCCGCCACCTCCCCTATGGAGGATCATGCATTAAGACCAGATCTCTAGACGAACAGTTCGGAACCATAAAGCTTGAGGAAAAAATGATTCCAACACTTTTTCAACCTGAAGACGCCAGTCATCATCCCACCGGAATATGCAAAGGGCATAGCAATACTCCCAGCAGGTTCGATACCATCCCGATTTCTCCCAGTCGATAAGAGCGGGCCATACTACCCATTTCAAAAAAGGTAAACAAGGCCTATATGACTTCAAAATAAATAATCTAGGGCTCAAGGACCTTAGCAACCATGCGAACTCTCATGGTTCTAATTACCTTCGTAATGTGAGGTTGTCATAGTAAAGCAGTTCAACAATTTAGCACAAGATTTACCTTGATTAACACACATTGTGATGCCCTCAATCTGAATGCAGAATCCAGCACTCGGAAATGAGATGCAGTATACCTTTGCAAGTTCAATAATTGTAGCCAACGCTAGATCGAAGTACCAGACGAAGTCACGCATAGGCAAAGTCATAGCGTAGACACAATATCCGATACTTCCAGCAGTTGAGATTTCACGACAATATAAAACCGACAGCCACGGTGTCCAGATCTTAATTACCATATTTGCCAGTCTAGATGCCTGTTCAAAGTTTACTAGAGACTGGGTTTCGGTGATTGGGCTTTAGCTACCAGGCCGAAAGTGTAGCTTGTGATTCTTAACAGAATCTAAGTACTTTTTGCCTCGGGATAAGGCAATTATTTGGGCCGCAACCGACGCTGATCTTCGACTTGCTTCCACCATGTAAAAGGGTGCTGTCAATGACAAGAACGGCTGGTTGACAAATAAAGGTTTCGTATATTGAGTGCTGTCCCTGTTACATACGTACTGTGAATCGGTTATTGTTCTTTTTCAAGTGGAAACGAGATTTAGGAGAGTAAATACCTGGCCGCAGAGACTCAAGTATTACAAACGCTTATAAACTATCAATATTAATAGGATATAACTAGTAATTCGTAAATAGGATTAGCTCCTCAGATAACAATAAATACGCTGCCTATTATTCGATTAAGTCAATTATTTCGGTCGGCTTATGTGGATCAATATCAGTGTAGTTGTCGAGAATGAGGCTCCAATAGGGTGCCAAAGCAGACATAAAAGGCGGCGCTATAGAACGAGTGGTAGCATGTATTTACGGACTCCATTACTTCCATGCTTCTTGCGGGTGCGAAACGCGAGACTTTCGCTGCATTAACAGGTGCTATTCTATCCCTATGCTGTATAATGCATAAATATGGACAATGTATAATATCAATTGGGTCAACTCTGAGATGTTGGAGGCTCGTAAAGAGTGAAGCGATACGGCGATCAGCTTGAGTTGTCAATCTTTCAGTGGCGAGGGCTATGCATGGATAAAGACTAGCTGTTGGTTTTCCTCGCATAATTCAGCTTTGTCCGAGCGACATAGAGCCAGCTCGATAGGCGCCCGACATTTCGTTGAGTGAAGATGTTCAAAGCCTCATGAAAAATCACTAAATTGTCCACTTACCCTGTTTCAACGAGGCTGCATAAGGTCTGATCACACCAGCCACAGGTCTAGGTGGTCAATAGACGTAGGGCACTTGTTCCTGAATAAGGCGGGCTCTTGACGATCTCAACTTCGCTTAGAGCACTGACACCCAGTTAGGAACACTAGATGACATGATTGCTTGAGCTATGCATTCATTCCACTCTTTTGGCAATCTCTATGCTTATCCTTGCCCGTTTGGGAAGAATGTTTAGCCAATGCTGACATTTTCCAGAAACATGTGTTTATAGGAGCCAGTAGCTTTTTACAATTATAGCTTGGCTGTTAGCCAACCTGCTGTAAATGGATTGATTGGTGTAGTATTAGCCGAGATGGGAGGCCTTGCAGAGCGGCACTTAGAATAGCTGAGAGTATGTCCAGTCGCCCCAGAATGGATTGATCGGCAATTGGGCCAGCCCCGGATCGTCCAAAAGTCAACCCTCTTGAGCATACCCAGCCCTACCCAGCCTCTTCCTGGCGGGAGTTGTTTCTGGATACGAACTATATTGGCTGGCCTTAATGAGATACTCCAGCTTTGTCATGACATTATCTATTTATGGAATATCAAAAGGTGCTTCAGGAATAAGGGCAGCTAAAGCCGTGAGAGGTATATAATGTTGTCTTTTGCCTGCAGGAATTCCATATCCCATCCAGCAATCCAAAGACCTCTAGACGTCCAAAGCAATCCAAAACCACCTTCATCACATCTCTTTAAAACCATCTCAGATACAACGTTCCAATTCACTCCCGCACAATGAAGTTCACTGCCATCTCCCTCCTTTTGGCCGCCAGCACCGCACTAGCCAGCCCCGCCAACATCCGAAGCGAATCCCTAAAAATCTCCAGCTTGACAGCAAACTCCTCCAAGCTCGGCGATTCTAACATCCAATTTACTCTCACCGACCCAAATTACCCTGATGACACCCCAACTGACTGCACTGTTATGTGGTGAGTGCCAACAACCCTCCGCTAATATCCTGCTTATACTAAGTCCCGATACGCAGGTCCACCAACTCAAACCCCCCCTCGAATTCCCGTTGCAACGGAAACAACTACTATATCCGGCTGTTGGGTGGAGTCGAGAAATTCGACAAATTCACAATCGAGCTTGAGCGGGTTTCTGGCCCGATCAAGGAGATAGGTCAGGCGTCGTTCAGCGAGACTGCCCCTGGCAGCAAGTGGGAGTGCAAGGAAAACCCCCAGGAAGGTGTTCTTAAGCGCTGCTACTACAATGGTGTTATGGAGGTTAAGGTCTGATTGGTCTGACCTTGCTGCTTGATACATAGTTGCATGGTAGATTCGAGAGGGGATCTTGATATTGGGGATTTTGTAGCCCGAGATACTACTATTGGTGAAGCGGCGATGGTTTTCTTTCCCTAACGCATGTGTGTGATTTCATTTCGAGCTTTTCAGCATGGCATCGGATTAGCTTAATGTCAGGTCAATTAATATATACTATTTCCATCAATATAGTTCTTGCCTTGTGTCGTAGTGACCTCCATTAGTTGTGACCCGTTTCCCTCCTTTGTCCATAGCACGGAGATGCTCATCTCATCCGGAGCTGACAGAATATAGCACCGTCTTTAGCACATGCCATAACACGATGAAGCCATGACTCAAACAGCATAACGGCTCCATCCACGAATAACCTTCCCAAATTTCCAAAATATATAGGGCACCGGCACCATCACAGCACTAATGATACCCAAGATAGTCAAAGTCCATTGTACCCCAACGTTATTATAAAAGGGAACCCCGACGACAGTCATGCCACCCGCAGCGCAGTAACGCGTCACGGTCATGAACCCCAATGCTGAGGCAGCATAGATCTCATACGCATCGATCACGTACATGTAACTGGAGATGAACATACAGATGCTACCAAAACCAAACAGGGAGGACCCAACGATAGGAGACCAGACAGATATATTTTTCTAGGTGACATCGTTTTGATTAGTCATGTTGGAATGGACTGGGGACGGACGAAGGTTAATGTTTTAACTGCTGGATGACTTACATAGTCTGTCCAGCCCATCCAGAACAGGCTGATTGGAATTGCTGGAGCTCCTATCATGGCGTACCAGAGCCTGTTCTCTGGATTAAGTGAGGATGACTTTGTCGATGGGGACTGTACGTTTGAGGAGGCGCCGTTGTCGTCGCTTTTATTGTCATGCGGCCTAGATAGGGCTTCGTCTTTAAGAGCCTTTCTCATACTTGAGTACATTCCCGGCACGATTAGGCCTGCGAGCATGATGCCCACGTACATCGCTACCCAAATGATATTTGTTAGTCCTTGCGACAGATCATGCACGTCGCTGAAGATGTGCGTGTATCCGTCGAAGAAGGTGAAAAGCACAATGTATAGGATTGTCATATATAGCGCGAGTAGAAGAATGATTGGTTCATAAATAGCCAGAGTGAATTGTCGGCCACAGGCGGTAGTAATGCGGGAGAGGAGAGATGTGCGGTCAAGGTCCAACTTGGACTGATAGCGTGGGTCCCCAGTCAATTGGCGCAGATGATGTGCCTTCCACTTGAGAAGAAGGGGACTATAGGTCTCAGGTTGGAGAAGAATGACCAGGCCTAGGACGAGTCCAGCCATGATTAGAACGATCCAATTGGTCCAGCGCCAAGATAGTGCTCCCTGGCCCATGTAGGAGGCAATTACTGGACTGAGAACAGCGCCTCCGAACGAAAGAATGGCATACAGTGGGAAGATCAGAGTCTTTTCAAGAGGGTCCCATAGATCAGCGACGGTGCCACCCGCACAGGTGAGTGGTGGGCAGCCGAAGACACCAGCCAAGAAACGGAAGGCAAGCTGGGCTCCAATATTAGGTGCTAGGCCAGATGCCATAACAAAAATCATAAACAGAGATGTAGAACCCGTATAAACAATATTTCGGCCAAGAATCTCTGACAGAGGCCCAGACACCAATGATCCCGCTGCAAAGCCAAGAAGAAATATACCTGTGGCTAGAGACGCAACAACCTCGCTGACATTGTAGGCGGCACTGTTTTGCCGTAGAACAGCAGATTCAATGGACGATGCGGCACTAACCACGAAAGCCAAGGCAGATACAATAAGTGTTGCCATAACACGTGTAGTGAGGGTGAAATTGCGAGGGTTCATGGGATCTTCATCATGGTCCCACCCCACGAGGAAGACCACAGAATGATTTCCATGACTCTCAGGTTTCTCCAACAGTTCGACACCGGCCAATGGTGAGGGCACCCCATGGGATACTGGATCCTGCTGTTGTCGGTGCAGCGATGAGGATGTTTGGGAACTGCTTGGATCGAGACCATCGGTGATCCCATCACGGAGACTGGCACGAGCCCGGTCGGGAAGATCATCGAGCTGTCTGCGGACTGCTTTCCTAATATAGCGGTATTGGAGATATGCTTGCATGGTTGGAAGAGGGTGTGGGAAGATGAATGGTGAAAGCAAGATAGGACGCAACTTACTGACATGTACTGTTTTCTACGTCCAGACATATATATATGAGTGAAGGTAATACTGACAGGGTCTGTTCCAGTTCTGCTCATGGAAAAGTTCGGTTATCATGCTTACTCCACTGGTATCGGACCCAGTAGCTCAATAAAGGTTACAGGTGAGTACCGTGGGCCTAGTTACATGGTTCCGACAAGAAAGTCAGAGCAGAGAAGTAGAATCCAAATAAAATTTAGAAGTGATTGGACAGCTTCCGTTATCGGACCTCAGCCTATCCGTTAAACATCTTTCCCAGGATACTACGTCCCCGATTATTAAGCGGACTCAGAGCAGATGATGCTGCAGACAGACACCCAAGAATGTAAACCTGATAGATTGCACCGCGGATTTACGGACATATTACCTAACAATTAGCGTCTAACTGTCACAGCTATGAGTATTATCCTATATGAATAAGGATACATCGTGTCCATAGAGGAATGAGGATACCGATTGGGTTTTAGATCATAATGGACTGGATATCTAACCAAGTGAGTTTGTACCCAAACATTCTCTGACCCACTTCACGATTCTCGGGCCAACTTCATCCCCCTGTAATCCAATTGACAAACAATAGCTAACATGATTATGCCCCTGCAGAACTTGATACTCTGGAAGATATCCCATCCGTTCTGAAAAGGCATGCATCAGTTTCAGGTTCCCTTGCACGCACTCTTTGAAGTCAAATTCCGCAATAGTCACGAATAACTTTGGCATTCTGGTCTCCACGGTGACCAGCTCACTGAACAACCCCATCGCAGACTGTGCCATAATCCTGTCCAAGTCGTGGGTGGCATAGTAATCAATCATACTCAACCTGCGTGGTTCCTGCGACAGATCATAGTGTAGAGCTGCACTTTGCAGCATAACCCCCCTAGGCATCGCGTTCTGTTGTTGTAATCGGCCAGAAAATAACGCCATGGCCAGATGGCCCCCCCCAGCGCTTTGGCCAATGGCAAAGATGTCGTCTGCATCACCTCCGTAATGATGAACGTTGGCCTTTATCCATTGTAGCGCCGAAGTGACATCTTCTATTCCATCAGGAAATCGAGCCTCGGGTAGTAGACGATACGTACCCAGGACCCCAATCATGTTGTTGGACGCGAAGAATTTTCCTAGGTTGTCAGGAGCTTTCCGAAACCGTTCTGATAGAAGGAGATACCAATATTTGCATGCAAATGCGGGGTAATTTCATTGTCACCCCCTTTAAAAGCGCCACCATGGAAATAGACGACAACGGGGAGTCTTTCTGTCTTTGCTATGCTTTGTGGCCAGTACACCTACAAGTGTCAGCCTCTCGCAGTTGGGTTTGTCTTTCTTTACTTACATTTAATCGATGGCGTTCATGCTCTCCGTACTTGATATTTTTCTGGGAGGCGTAAATGGGATTCAGTGGCTCTGGTACCGTTGCATGGCATGACTCAAAATATTCTTCACAAGCTGCATTTACAGAAGGGCCCCAGTGGTTCCCAATCTGCGCAATGAAACGTTGAATCACATCTGCCAAAGGCATATTTGACGAAAAGCAAATATGATGAACGCTCGTGGAGGGACGATTGCATTATGGATGGTTGAATTCTGATAGATTTGATTAACTCGGGGAGTCTTCCCGGCCCGTGGCCAGGTGAACCCTAATTAATCGAACGTTACGTGACAAGCTTTCGTAGATCTAGTCATATAACGTTACTCATGTTACTCATTTTTACCTACATTAGACAATATATTGCGAGTCTAATTGTTTTAGTAGAAATTATTCGCCGTTCGATTGAACCTCTTTTTTTGGGGAGGGACATACCTAGAAGAGTCACCAAGCTTCTCAGGTTTGTAACTATTACACCGATAAGATCTAGTATTAACTACTGATTCAGGCCCGAAATCAAGGTGTTATAAATTGACAGTAGACAAGGATCTTATTTTTAATTATTCAGTGGTTTATCTAGCCTAAATACTGAGTATAAGTTAATTATTAGATAGACCGGCAGCTATGTAGTCATATGGATCTAGGTTGACAAATGTTGGACCAAGGGAATACTCGATAAAAGGTGGGATGATCAAAGATAATAATAGGTGGCATTAAAGAGTGGAAACAAAGAAAATGTGCTAGGCAGCGTAGGCTCGAGCCGGACCTTTGGTCTAATATGTAGTCAACAAAGACACGGAATAGTGGCGTCGAGTTGAAGGAAAGGAAGTGGGACCGGGACCCTAGTATACTCGGATTTCTGGCCTTATCAAGGCGGGGGGGGGGGGGGGGCAACAAACAAAACACACAGAAGAGGTGGCCCGTGTCAGATGGGTGGAGAAATCCCTTTCTTGCCTTTATTGCTCCTGAACCAGCTTACCTAGAGCACAGACAAGACCTTTTTCATTTCCGGCTCGCTCCAACCTCGGTCTCACTATCCCCTCCACATCTCTGCCTATAGGGGAATTCAATAGATCTCTCTCTCACACACACCCCAGTGCTGAGAAATGGTCCGTCACATCCTTCTTACCGGGGGCAACGGCTTCATCGGATCCCACATCCTAGCCAAGCTTCTTGGCCAGGGCTGGACCGTCTGCTGTGCGGTTAGAACACAAGAGAAAGGCGACAAAATCTTGAGGGACTTCGCCGCCCAGCGATCTCAGATAACGATCACAATCGTCCCCGATATCATCGCGCCGGGATCATACGACACGGCGGTACAGCGAACGCCCGCTTTTGACACCGTCTATCATACTGCATCCCCGTTCACGTACGCGAATGTGGGAAGCAATCTTCAGTTTCTCGAGCCAGCGATCAAGGGGACATTGAACCTACTCAAAGCCGTGAAAGATCATGCCCCGAGTGTGAAGAGAGTCATTTGGACCGGCAGCTGCGCCAGTGTGATTGACTACGACAACCTGGTCTCGGACCCACCAAGACTTTATACGGAAGAAGATTGGAACCCGGTTACATGGGAAGAGGCAGTGCATGGAGATCCGTCGAAAGCTTACAGAGGCAGTAAGCTTTTTGCAGAACGAGAAGGTATGTTGATTGCTCTGGTTGCTGCTTGGTAGAATGCCGGTACTAACACTCTACACAGCATGGAAGTTTATGAAGGAAGAACAGCCACATTTTGACTTGGTGACGTTATCTCCACCGGCGACATTTGGTCCTCTACGCCACTCGATCACCAGTATCGGGGAACTCAACGAATCCAATTCTCGGTTGTGGAAATTTTGCTTCAGCTCGACCAAAGATGCGCCCGTGCCCTATATGCCTGTACACACCTACGTGGACGTCCGAGTCAGTCGCCCCAAATTGATACGTAATTGGAGCTAACTAAGTATTTCTTGTAGGATCTTGCAGATGCGCAATTCAGAGCTATGATTGTCTCAGAGGCAGGCAACCAACGGTTTGTGGTATGCGCCCGGCAATTTGACTTCCAGGATGTTTGCGATATTGTCCGATCACACCACCCCGAACTGAGCGAACGCACACCGCTGGGGAAACCCGGAACACGCTCTTTACCTCCAGGTGCATACTCTATTGATAATGCCAAGGTGAAAAAATTCTTAGGGGTGGAGTTCCGAAGTCTCGAAGAGACAATCTTGGATGCCGCACGTTGCATGCTAGAGATTGAGCGGAACGAAAAGCAAGCTCATTCCACTTGAGGTGGGAGCACTTTTGAATCAGCACACATCAATAATACTAAAATAAAGATAATCGCTCTCATATTTTCCCGTTCTGACGTTGTAGTGTTATAGAAGTCAACCATACTTGTCAGGGTGCAGGCCGCTCCATTAGCACGAATTTTCTACAGGCAGGATTTGGTCCACTATAGCAAACCATCTGAGTTGTTTAGTGAAACTTTTGTAGCCAGTATTTACAAGTAGACTTCCAAAGGCTATGTATGTTTTATGTGGTATAAATCTTAATTTTGCTATGTAGGTCAAGTTACTCTAGTCATGATTCATGATGTGGTAAAGGAATCTATATATTGTTACTATTGATATCTATAGAGGTGAGATTTACACGAAGGAAAGAAAACACGTGACAACTAGTCTATACGATATTTCCAAATATGTATCTATATGATTGGTTCAAAGATGCCTGCACGTGATTATAAGTGATTCAATCAGATTTCTTCGTAATCAAGCCTTTAGGGAATTTTGTATAGGAGATTTCGGACATACCACGGACGACGGACTCTGTTAACTCCGTGGGTTAACACCGACGGTGGAGAGAAATGATTGGTTCGGGGAGAGCACGGGATCTACCATAGTCTCCACTACTCTGATCCATGGCAGAAGATAGTACTCCGCACAACATAGTATGCATGGACCTTGACAGTTGACTCGCTGTTAGCTCGATTAACGCCGAAATGAGATCTGTTTTGTTGACAGGGATACGTGTTGAAACCATGCTCACACAGAGAGAGGACAGAGTACTTTCGCTGACTCTCGAAGCCCCTTCTGAGAGCACGCGCTCGACTTAACCTCTTCCTTCACCTCAATCCAACACAATGTCGGAAACTAGTATTATCGACACTGAAACGCAGCCTCGAATAGCCGTGATGGGCAAGGTCGATTCGCGACAAAGCTCTCGAGGCTTAGAGGATCATACCGACCAAGACAGGGGCGCCAACAACGTCGCAAGCGCCGATCGCAGACAGCCCGTACCCCTGGAAACATCGGGACCCCCTTCCCCACGGGATATCCACGGGGTCAAGTGGGCGTTCGCTGGTAAGCTAGAGAGAGGATTTGCATGATCCATAACTCCCAAGTTTGGGTATGGTTCCTGATCATACGCGTTTGCAGTGACTGCCATCTTGTCCAGCGTGTTCTTGTTCGCGCTGGATCAGACGATTGTCGCGGATGTTCAGCCAAACATTATCGCCGAGTTTAATTCAATTTCTAAATTACCTTGGCTGTCGGTGTCGTTTCTCCTCGGAACTGCGAGCACTAATTTGCTCTGGTAAGCATTGACACCAATCCGAACCGTTTTCAGCGAAGTTTATTGAAATTAAGTACGAACGAATGTGCTTAGGGGGCGAATATATAGCCAATTCAATCCAAAATGGATCTATGTGCTCTGCGTGGTGATTTTCGAGATCGGTTCGGCCATATGCGGGGCGGCGCCCAACATGGATGCCCTTATTATTGGACGTGCTCTGGGGGGCCTTGGCGGCGGAGGAATGTACTTGGGAGTCATGATGATGCTGTCTCTGTTCACGACGCCTGTGGAACGACCCAAGTACATCGGCATCATCGGGGTGGTATTCGGCTTTGGCACCGTGTGAGTTGTTCTCTCGCAGAGAGTGGGAAGCAGGCCAAATCGGATTACTGACTATGGTATCCTTGCTACAGCCTAGGACCTGTGATTGGCGGAGCATTTGCCTCCAATGCCTCCGCGACGTGGAGATGGGCCTTTTATATCAATCTTTGCATCGGAGGCGCCTTTGCGCCAGCGTATTTCTTCTTGCTTCCATCCCGTGATCTCCGACCGGGGATGAAGTTCTCGGACCGGATGAAGGCTGTGGACTGGATAGGAAATACTCTTGTGATCGGGATGTATGTTTCTATACTCATGGCCATCTCATTTGGTGGCACAACATTTGCGTGGAACAGCGCCCAAGAGATCGCTTTGTTCGTAGTTGCGGGCGTTCTGTTTATCGCGCTTAGCATCCATCAAGCCTGGTCCGACCGGCAGAATCGAATGTTTCCAGTTCATTTCCTGAAGAACAGAGGCCTGTTGATCCAATTCTTGGTGGGAGCCTCTGCGGGGACGTCGTCCTTTGTGACCATCTATTTCATCCCGCTATACTTTCAGTTCGTGCAGGACACCAATTCTCTGCTGGCAGGTGTACGGTTATTACCATTCATCGGCTCCCTGGCGGTCTTCACCATGTTAAACGGCCACCTCATGGCACGACTGGGATACAGCATGCCATGGTATGTCACTGGATCAGTCCTAGTCGTCGCCGCCAACGCCATGCTCTACCGAATTGATCTCTCGGCGTCCAACGGATACATATACGGAGCCATGGTTCTCAACGGAATTGGCACCGGCATGTTTCTAAATGCTCCATTCGCCGTAGCTCAATGGCTAGCTCCACGCAAGGAGACATCGAATGCCGTGGGATTTATCATGTGTGCTCGAGGAGGGGGATTGGCGATCGCACTGTCCATCGCAAATGCCATCTTTCTGAACTTGGCCGACAACAGGATTCGCCACGACTTTCCCGACCTAGACAAGACGGGGATTCAGAGTTTAACCTCCGGCTCGGGGAGCACTCTCCTGGAAACCCTGAATCCCGACCAGCAACAGCAAGTGCTCGCTGCTATTGTATTTGCCATCAGTCGTGTTTTTATCACGTCCATTGCCTCCGGCTGCTTTTGTCTCATCCTATCGCTTTTCATGGATCGCAAGAAACACAAGCTTGGTTAGCTCGCTATATACATAGAGGCGCATACTTTCTCCTTTTTCCCGGGATGAACTCTAGAAGACTATAAGACGTCAAAGTATGATCGAGGCGGGCTTCGATGATAATCGAAATCCATACAGCTGGTGGCTATCGGATTGATTAATTTACACAAGATAGCTGGAGTAAAGCGTGAAGATGTGAACATGATGGCAGTACCGAGAACTGATCTCGATGAACCCTCGAGGTTGCGAGCGCTATAATGAACAATATCTGTGCCGAAAGAATTGGAATGCGATTATCACCCTGGCAAAGGTATCACGGCGTGGGGATGCACGACACTGTTCCTCAATTTATATACGTTATCCGCGGTCTAAAGGGAAATTGAGCCCATGTGAGTGGAGCTCAAAATATTATTAGTACATGAGAAGAAACGACAATGTCACGCATTCTTGATGCCCTTTGGCAGCCTCGCAAGCCAGTATATAAAGAACGTCGCAGCCACATTAAACACCACATACACAGCCATGAGGCCCAGGTCCCTCCACCGGTGAGCTACATTTATTCCCAAGCCTTCTAGCACTACGTTGGTGTCGCCAATCGAGCAGAACAGACATTCCCCGGTCGTGGCATCGGGGTTTAACACCTGTCCCCCTGCAGTGCTCACATAGGCAGACATGTAGTCGCCACAGGATGTTGTGTTCGCAGGCAATGCGATCCGAAGCAGATCAATCGCCGCACAGTGGAGCTTGGTATTGGCGAGAGCAGTAACGATCATCCCATCCATCAGGTAAGTGAACGGGTCGACTCGATACATGAATATCCAGAACCGGGCCAATGCATCGGGCTGCACGAGAATACCGCAGAAAAGCAAACAGAGCGTGAACAAGAGGTTGGCGATATTGACTGCAGTGAGCGAGTCGTTTATTCCAGCAGCAATGGCCTGTGAGAGGGTGGACGAGAAGAGAAAGAAAACCCAGATAAGGAGGAACATCAGAGTCGCTCGTTGATCCATGGTGAAACTGCTATCGTTGAGGCCGTTGCGCCAGAATCCAGTTGGATAATACCATGCGACGAAAACTAACACTGAGGTTAGGGATTGCCACACCAGCTCCACAATCACGTTGGCCCCGACAAAGACGACCCAATTATAGGTTTTTGACTGCTGTTCACGGGCCTCGAACTGAGCGCGGTTGTCAATGAAGCGAGGGATAATTTGCTGATCGACGGAGCTGAAGACGATCGTTAACAGAAAACAGGAGAAGAGCGAACTGACGAGTCCTTGAACGTCTTTGGACACAAGCCAGAAGGACAGCCCGTTAAAGAGAGCCTAAATTGAGAGTCAGAGATGGACGGTAGAGAATGGGGGACAGAAACGAAATAAAAGGAAACGGCATACTGCGCCAACACATAAGGCAATTTTGGAGTAGAGATAGGTCGGATCTCGCCAATAGTCCTGAAACATTCGATAGGTGACGAGCCATAACTGCTGTAAAGATGTGGATGCATAGTCGTGGTCTTCGATGCTCCCAGTGGTTGTCGTTGCTCCCACGCCATCAGAATCGGTCCGCATCCTAGCGATTTGTTGCTGCACAGCTTGTCTCTCTGCGCTTGCTCTCCAGATATCAGACCACTTTAAGGCAGCGGCAGAGTTTGCCACGTCAAGAAGCCATTCGGCTGTGTTCTCCCCTTCTTCTGGGGACCGGGCACCTGCCCGCTCAAAGTAGTCGATTAATGTGCTTGCGGAACTACCCACATCTCCAAAATAAGCGGTCTTGCCTTCATGCAAAAGCAAAAGTCGATCGAACATCTGGAATAGCTCCGAGGATGGCTGGTGAATAGTACACAGGATTGCTTGCCCGTTGTCCGCAAGCTTACGCAACAGGGTACAGATTGACCAGGCCGTCTGACTGTCAAGTCCTGACGTGGGTTCATCCAAGAAGAGGAGAAACTCTGGTCGGGCTGCCATCTCCACTGCAATCGTCAATCGCTTGCGCTGCTCGATGTTGAGCCCTTTCCCAGGCACTCCAACAACCGCATCTGCATATGACTCCATCTCTAACATGCGCAGCACCGTATCCACATACGCAAGCTTCTGCGCTATCGACCGATTTCGCGGTTGTCGGAGGAGGGCGCTGAATTGGAGCGCCTCACGAACTGTTGCCGATGACAGGTGAATATCGCTCTGCTGCACGTACCCCGTCTTGCGTTGGAAAGACCTCTCTAGCGGTCTGCCGTCGATGTGAATATCACCACGAACGATCCCAATGGACTTTCGACTGGCCAGCACATCTAAAAGAGTGGTCTTCCCGGCTCCCGTCGAGCCCATCAAAGCCGTTACAGTGCCCGGGGCTACCCAGCCGTCGATTTCGTCAAGGATATTACGCACCTCCTTGCCCACCTTAACATCGTACCCTACACCAGTCCAATTGAAGATGGATGACTGCTTCGCCAGCCCTTCCATATGTACTTCAGGTTCTTGTATTGGGCTCGGGCGATGGATGGTGATGTCCTTGGTCTGTATTGAACTTTCAGCATTTTCCTCGTCCTCCGGTGGCTGGTGAGCGATATGCTTTCGACGGTAGAGCAGGATATCACCTTTGGACTTTTGTGCCTGAATATACTCAGCAGCGAGAAGATGAACAACAAAAAAGGCAACCATCAAAGCAAAAAGAATCCCGAGATTCCTCCACAGATGATCTAACGTATAGCCATACTTGACATTGAGGTACCGATTTCCTTCGACAAAGGATTCTCCCTGCACGCCCCCAATTGCTGAACAGACTTTGCCATCCATGCTACCGCCACTGTATGATGGTCCAGACGGTACTGTTATGGAGCAGGGAAACTGACGGTTGCCAAATTCGTTGATCATCAAGCTCTCATTGGCATACGCAATTGGGTTGAACCACCTGATCCAACTGAGCCAAGGAACTTGGGAGTGTGGCGGGATTACAAAACCCGCATATATAACAAAGTTAAATATCATAATGGCTACCGGGGCTAGAGATTGGGCGTAGGTGCGTGACAGAGATCCGACCGAGCGAAAGATCATGGACATGGTCACCATGACCACGAAACCAAATAACCAGAAGATGAAGAATGCGGCAGCACTGCGCCGCAGATTGGTCAAGAAGTAGATACACAGGTTAAAGAAGAGCGAGGTAACGACTTTGACAGGCAGGTCGGCAAGCATCGACGCGATGGCTTCTGCCACGGGGTGGTAGAAGGCGTACTGGGTGTGCTTTTCCACAATGGGCCGCTGCGCCCACAAAGTGTTCACCTCGAACGCTGGAAGACAGGCGTTCATCATGGTCGCGTAGAAGATCAGAATACTACGAGCTTGGAAGCTAGCCGTATCCTCTGCGAGGTTGTAAAACACACTCCCCAGGATGATGGCGAGGATAATGTTGCCGATGACTCCAGATACGATTCCTGGCACGCTGTGGCGCGACCTGACAAAGGCCCTGCCCAGGCAGGTACGAACCTGATGAGCAACAGTCGTTTGGTAGATCACAGGATGATCTCGTTCACGGTCTAAAGGGGAATGCAATTGGTCAAATTCTTCTACTTCCTTTCGTATGGCCTGCCACTCAGGGCTCCGTCGCCATGCCACGGCGAACTCGTCCGGCGTCCTGGGCACCTGGGCCTCGAAGCCAGGCCGTACTCTCCGTTCCTTTGCATTTGTCAATGAGGTCAGAAAGTCCGCCGTCGTCGCACGCGGGGGGCGGATGAAACCTAAGCGGATAAAATATTCCGCAGCCTTCTCGGCAGGGCCAAAGTAGATCTGTCGCCCCTCATACAGCAGCAGCACCTTATCAAATTCCTGGTACACAGCCTCAGGAGCCTGGTAGATAGTTGTCATAACTGTCGAGCCCAATGCATTTGTGGCCCGGTGCAGCTTCCGGACAAAGTTCAGCGCCTTCGCACTGTCCAGTCCGCGTGTGCTGTTATCCCAACACTGAATGGGACATCTAGCTAGGAACGCTTCTGCAATACTCGTTCGTCGTTTCTCGCCGCCACTGAGCCCACGAATCATCTCGTTCCCCACTTGTGTATGCAGTGATTTACCCAGTCCGAAGAGGGTGGCTGTTATGGAACCGATCTCCCTGGCGGACATGTGTCCTTGTGGCTTCATTTCTGCGGCAAAGGACAAGGTTTCCCCCAGCGCCAGCTCAGGAAAATGAACGTCATTTTCGGCCATGTAGATGCTCTCACCTTGGTATTTGCGGTGCATTTCGGTGAACGAGATTCCTTCCATAGCCGTCAGCTCCTTCGTCGTTTCAAGCGATGAAAAAATTAAGAGAAAGCCCACATACTGACCCTGATAATTAATATCACCCCCATTGACCTTCAGCCCATGTATATCACCTGCCATTGTCTTGAGGAACGTTGTGCAGCCACTTCCGGGACGTCCCAGCACCAGGAGCATCTCTCCCGGACGAACGAAGCCATCCAAGTTCCGCAGAATTTGTACCTTCTGCCTGTGTCTGACTCCCAACAGAGCCTTAAGGTATACGGGAAGGAGTAACACATAGCTAGCGAACGTGTGCTGAAATAGGGTCGGCTCAGTGTACCCGTTCACATTGACGTCGATAAACGATACTCCCCGCAGAGTCCGTCGGCGGTCCTGGTGTGTCGTCGCTCCGAGCCATTTCTCAAGAGGCTCCTTGATCTCATCTGCTGGACATGCCATACCTGGAGAGATCCAACCTCAGTATCCGCTTTACAACGAGAAATGACAGCTGCTTCCGAACGGCTTGTCATAGGCTAGGCTGACTAGTACTATGGTTGTGAGTGGGCTCTCAGCGCCGTTTATTTGACTCCACAGGGCCACGAGCCAACGCTCCAGTAACACTCTTTGTCAGGGGATGGAAATGGTGTGGTTGGGAACGTATTTCGTTTGTCAACATCACGAACCCTGCCCCTGTTACATAGCCTAGTAAGACCTAGTGGGGAGATTACGAACACCGAGTTGACAGCCTAGAATTGTGGCATTTATTTAATAGTCTCCCGCCATAACTAACCGGGAACGAGTGGGCAGCCTCGCCAAGGTACTTTAGTAGTAGTTGGTGTGCGAGTCAGGCCAGTCAGAGCCAGAGATAGGGATGCAGGCTGCAATGGTTCGGAAAACCCGCAATTGGACAATGACCAGGTACCGTATGATTAATAACAATGTGCTTACTGATCCTGTCGCATTAGCTAAAATTGCTGGCGGCGTAAAAACTAGGGTAAGGCTATAGTAGATCATTTTAATTGACGCAAGGTGGAGTCTCGGCTATACGGATGCATGGCTAATATGGAGTAGCTGATGGGGGGGGATCTTCACCTAACACCGGCTGCACCCGACAAATAACAGAAGCAAACGAATGCCCAATATGGGAATAGAACACGGAGTATCCCCATGGGAGGAATGCTCCAATGAGAGGCAGTGGAATGTCTCGACTATATGCTTAACCTTGGTACTAACGAGATATAGCACACGCCATAGAACTCATGACTTTCGTTCTACCCCCTCGTCTGTTTTTTGCTTTTTTTCCTCTCTTTTCTTTTTATCCTTTGTCTTTCTTTCTTTCTTTCTTTTTTTATTTGAGCCTTGCCCCACACCGTCGCACCGTGGCAAACCAATCGAAATTCTATGAATTTCACACTAAATCGCTGATCCAAGATGATCCCTTGTTGTCTTACCCGTTGGTGGATACACCAGAAAACAGACTAATCTTCCCCCACCTAACAAAGGGTCCTAAGTACGTACGGTATAGCTAGACTCAGGGGTTTGTCCTGCGGCGAATGGCGAATGGGACTTTGTGCTTTGGCTTCTGTGTCCCTAGCCCAAATGTCGAGCTGTCCATATCCAAGGAGGAGACCTGAATATCAACATCGAATTGGCTGACGAAAAATGCACAGGTGAATAGAATTAGTCGCTTGGCGAAGTTGCGTCCGGGGCAAGCTGAGGTGCCACCTGGAGTCGTTAAGAGTCATTAGCAACCCAAATCAAGGTGTGCTGAGTAGACTGTTGGGTGTCTTACCACCGTAGGGGATCCACACCCCCTCTAACCCCTTCATTGAGAAGCTGGGCTGGCTCCCAACCCCATTAACGTGGTGATAAGGGTCAACCTGGTCTCTCCACGTCCGCCGTGGGCCCGAGCGCGGATCGGCGGGGTGGAGCAGAAACCGGTCCGCCCAAAATGTGTTGACCGGGTAGGCTCCATCCTTTGTATTCCACAGCTGCTCGTGCATATGATTCACGTAGGAGCTAACCATCACGACGTCGTTCTGCCCAAGCCACCAGCGCCCCACGGACGCGGGTTCATGGGCGGAGCAGCGCGTCACATATGCTTGGACGTAGAGTCGAAGCGTCTCGGCGTAAACAGCTTGCAGGAGATCATTCTGCAACAGTTTGTCCATGGAAACCGCAAGCTCAGGCTCAAAGGAGACTACGTCATGGTCTTGAATACTCTCTCGGACACGATACAGAAGTGTAGGATCCTGAAAGATGTGGAAAACCGCCATCATGGCGGTCGGCACCACATTCGTGATGGAGGTCCAGATCAGGCCCAAGTCGGTGGACGCTAGCGAGGCATCATCTTGTCTGTCTACGGCCAAGAGAAACTCTTGCCTCTCGCGCATCATTCGGGACCCCCAGCATGGGTCTCCATCTCCGTCCTCCGCAATCAGCGACCCGTGGAAATGTACACGAGCATGCCGATACCAGTTCTGGATCTGGTCGAGCAACGATTCCCGTACGCGGTAGGCGCTTGGCACAAGCCATCGTGGCAGTCGTTTGGCTAAATAGGGAGTTGCGGCATCAAACTCCCACAGGCATTCCATAAATGTTGGGTTGACGCTGATCAAGAGGGGTCCGAAGAGGGACTGGAGCACCGCCCGTCCTACATGGTCTCGAAAGAACTGTAGCAGGTCAGGCATCTGGATCCATTCGTCCTCAATAGATAAACTGCTAATCTGCGAAGTGATTATGCCTTGACAGCGCTGGAAGGTAGGTGTTAGTCCTGCTCCTGATAGACCTCGTAACAGCGAGTCGTGAGTTAAGTAGTCGACACGGTTATGCGGGAGCACGTTGCTATTAGGGTGCGGCTTGCGATAGGGCCCGGAGTCGTCGGCAGTATATGTTTCTATTTGGTCCTCCTTCATGCCGAACAGGTAGCGTAGTCCTACCGTGTAGATGTATATCGGACTGGAAAGTAGGGGATGTTTCCATAAGGCGGCGACTGCCTCAGGCTCCTGGAAGAGGTAAATACCCGCCAACGGCAGTGAGATTCGGACGCAGGTTAATCTTCCCGCATAGGATCTGTGACATGCAGCGGTCAATCAAGGAGCCCATAATAATTCAAAGCAGAGATGGGGAAAAACAAACGTTGCCCTCCTCACAAATGATACACTATCAAACAAGAAGGGGATTGTATGACCTAGGACCGGAATCGCCGCTGGCAGGCTCGGCGGGATTTCGCTGACCCCATTAGGGTTGGGCCTGTTCGCCCAATGATAGAGAATCCACGATACAAAGTAGCTAAAGCAAAATGGCAGGGACAGAACAAAGAGAAACACTAACGACTGTGAAGCCATCGTAACACAGCAGAGAACTAGTAAGTCTACCTTGAGACTGGGAGATGAAGAGAGCTGGACGTCACACGACATGCGCATGTTTGTCCCAGTTGATATAGCCAAAACACATATAACAATTCAGCCTAACGTGGCAAGCTTCCGATTTCCTCTTACTTCCCCGAAGCTTCCCTATGACTGACTTACATCCCTGTCAATGGGTCATCCCGTTTGCAACGGAAATGTGTCTGGAATAAACCCACAGGTCGACAATCTCATTGGAGGTTGCCCAAGATTATCAGGAAATATACGGCTACAGGAAGTAAGCACTAGTGCTGCTGCCTTGCATGAGACAGCACTACATGAGCGGTTGTACTCACTTACCTCTGTGCTTTGCCCCATGATTGGAACTCAACCCCATCTGCATCTTCATATTAGTCTTGTTGTTGTAACGCTGGCAGGGATTTCCGAGCCTGGTAGAACCGTCCAACCCCCCCCCCCCCCCGGGGTTGTTCTCTCTATCCTCTCCTTTCCTGCCCTTGTCCCCCACCATGAATTTAGAGGAAGCATTGCCAGAGGCCTACCATGTATCCAAATAATGGCGAGATACAATGATTCAATTTCTATATGTACTAGAAGCGCGATTCATAGTTATTATTATTATTATTATTATTGTCTGTTGTTTCTAGTTGCGAGTCATGCCTGATCCCCCGTCAAAGCCCAGCCGGCCATCACTGTCAGCGTCTTGCCCCGCGGCTCTTCACCGAGTAGTCAGATTTCGCAAGCTGACCCGGCACGGAAGCCCATCGGCAGGGTGGGAACCGCCCTGTGGAATTTGGTAGGCACGTTCGCCAAACACGGTTTTGGGGCCGGGTCGAGGATGCTCTCGATCCCATTGCGCGTACTGGTCTTGGAAGTCGAACTCACGAAGCGTGAGCACTAGGGTAATCTTGATGTCAAGTAGGGCCAGCGCTTGACCGATGCAGTCTCGTGGACCATGCTCGAAGGGACGCCAAGCACCTTTGGGAGGGTACAAGGGATGGTCGGGGCCAACTAGCCAACGGTCTGGTTTGAAGGCATGTGGGTCCGGCCAATAATTAGGGTTACGTTGAATGGCCCCATGTATGATCCAGATACACACTCCCTCGGTGGGGTACTTCGTGCCGTTCTTATCATGCAGGTAGACCCCGGGCTGACCCTCCCGCAAGGCGGAGGCAGCGGGGAACAGACGGAGGGTCTCCTTAATAACTGCTAGAGTATACGGGAGCTGGTTGATCAATTCGGGGTGCTGCTGGAGCATGCCTGGGGCAGCCGAGATATCTGACCCAAATACCGCATCATGCTCCTTGCGAACCTGAGAAAGAATCTGGGGATGTTTCGACAAGAGGTAGACGCTGTAAACAATCGTGGCGGCGGTAGAGTCATGGCCAGCGAACAGAAAGAGCCGGATTTGAATCGTAGCCCATTTTTTGAACTCAGAGTCCAGTGTTGCTCCTGCCGGCCGTGTACTCATGAATTCGGCGAGTACAATGTCAATAATTGAATTGGCCCGGGTCGATGGCTTTTGCTGCTTCCAGGCCTCGTACCGTTTGTCCAATTCGATCCCGATGTAATGGTTCATCGTCCGTCCATTGTACCACTGCATGATCGGTCGCATGGGGTTCCATCGAATGACGGGGTTCATCTCCTCGTCCTGACAATGCCACTCGACAGAACTTCTTAATGCCGCCGCCACAGGGTTATGTCCGCGCTGAGAATGAAAACGTGCTTTCCTACGGTTTGCCGTGTCAGTGTTCGTCTGGTCGCCGTTGGCTTAGACACGGCACTCACATGGCCACATGTCCGATGATATCCAGGACGTAGTCACAGGTCGTTTTATCCAACGAGAAAGTATCTCCCTTCCGCGCGTGCTCACGGAGAATCTCCACGTACTCTTGGGCTTCCTCAAGAATATGGGGAGTATGCTGGAGAATATTACTGGCACTGAAGGCAGCGTTGAAAAGCCCCCGGGTGCGCTTCCATTCAGGCCCGTTTGTCGTAAAGAGATTGGGACCCCCGGCAAAGGGGTTAAAGAACTTCGCAAGGACGGGCGGCTTAGGGAGTGCGTATGTTTGAGACGCCTGGACTGCCAGATCCGGCGAAGTCACCACCAGTAAAGGCTCCGTAAAGGGCCAGGCATCGATGTAGAAACAATTATCGGAGTTGGGAAACTCGTAGGACAATACAGCAAATGCTTCGGACTGCTGCGATCCTTTGGGATGCCGCTGCATTAGGTCGGGGAGCATCCGCAGATTTCCAGCTGCGAAATCCCATTGCGGCATTGGCTTGTTGCCAGCCACTGTCAGTAAGTCAATTCATTACAAAGGGATTTTCTTTCCACTATGACATACCAAGCCCTGCTTGCGCAGACGATAGAAAAGCAGGCGTACTTTTAACATCTCGTGCAAGAATCTCACGACGATCACTAGAACCAAGGCCAGGGCCACTCGGGCCCCGTACCTGATGACAAGATCGACGATTGAGGCCACCATAGCGGTTGCACGTGGAGGAAAAGGAATTAGTTGGGGACCGGAAGGCAAAGGAAGGAAAAGAAATAAAAATAGAAATAGAGGGAGAGAAAACAAAACAAAAGCCAAAGGGAAAACAAAGAAAAAAAGAAAAAGAAAAAAAAAAAAGCAAAGGGAGAGGTAGACGTAAGTGGGTTAAGTGTAACTGCACGCAGCCGGAGACGGAAAAGAGGGGGAAAGGATCGATAAGCAGGGATCGGGATAATCAGACAATGAGAAAAGAGAAGAGAAGAGAAAAGACCTAATTTTGGATGCAAGAACAGTCAGCTAGTCTAGTCCACTGGATGCGCAGGGATTCGATTTCGTTAGGGTTTCGGGGTCTCGTGCCTGAATTTATATTACTAACGAGGTTAAAAGATGACTGCAGCTTTTCTCCTCAATACCTACATTTGGCCCCCCACCATCCCATCATTTGTAGAACACACTATAATCACCATCACCCTGGAAGATATAGGCTTATTCCGTTTGCTCATGATGTGCTCATCTTCAACTTCTTCCTGTCTGTCGCTCTTCAAAAGGCCCCCGTGATCCCGTGCTGCTTCCTGGATTCGTTCTTAGTGATAGACGAATGTCTCCTGAGCACTGGTTTCGTCAACATGGCACCCCAGGATCATTTTGGTCGCATTCATAAGACTGCCTATGTGGTATGAAAAGCCTGCCTCTCCCTGTAAGCCTAACATGCTGACAGAGTGACCCAGGTATCGACTGCTGTGCTCCTCGCCTTAGCACTGGCTGGGGTGGTCATTCGATGCATTATCCGTTTTCGCATGCAAAAGCAGCGGTTCCAGATCGACGATGGATTATTTGCATTAGCGGTCAGCTTGCTACTGACCAGCTTTATTATCATATATGACAAGGTTATCGACCCGATGTTTTTACTAGCCGCCATGCAGGGCGAGGTTGAAGGAATAGAGATACCCGCCGACTGGCTTCAAGTCTCCCACAACTTCCATAAATGGAACGCAGCAGCACTGATACTCAGTTGGTGCTCTATCTGCGCAGTCAAGTTTTACTTTCTCGTGTTTTTTAAGAAGCTGATCGATCGCTTACGCTTCTGGCAAATGTACTGGTGGATTGTCGCCATCTTCAACCTCGGCCAGCTGGCTTTTGGAGCCACAGTCTACTATCTTGGGTGCCCATTTTGGGATGAGCGAGAGCGTAGGTTCTCACTGATACTTATTTTCTTCCATTTTTCTACACGCCACACGGTGCTAATCGGTAGCTATAGTCCAATGTTCTTCCGGGCGATACAAGTCGGTGCTTATCCGGGTCTCAAGTGCGCAGATCTCATTGGATATCGCGGCCGACCTTCTAAGTAAATGACCCTCACTTCATTCGCGTTACTCCTCTAGCATAGGTATCGGTTTTAACTCTCTATAGTCCTAGTTATTCCGATTGGCATCATCTGGAAGATCAAGGTCCAGTGGACCCAGAAATTGGTGCTGATGAGCTCCCTCTGCCTAACCATCGTCCTTGTCGCTCTATCAATCACCCGAGTTGCTGGGCTAGTGCACCATGGGGCGGTGGACACGATATGGGAAACCTACTGGCAGTCTCTGAGTGCTGAGCTTGGTGTTTTCCTAGCTGCCGCGTCGACGTTCCGATCCTTTTTCATCGCCCAGAGACAGAACAAAGCCAATATACCATCTGTGACATTCAATCGCTGGCTCAGGAGTTCGACCCCGAGAGGGTCGGCTCGCAAGCAGCCCGACTCCCTCTTTGCATCATGGTCCGATAACACAGCAACCTCTGGATTCGAGCGTATATCAGAACAGGGCGACGGAGATCCCAACCTACGTAAAGATAGTCATGAATGGCATCACATGTCAAACCCCTCCCAAACAGAACAGGGCTATGGTGCGCCATTTGATACTGAGACGCACACAGATCCTTTTCATGCTAGACCAGTTTAGCGGAGGCTGCGTGTGTTATGCAACGGGCAAAATGAGTGTTATGTTATCATCTCCTGCAATCACTAGTTCGGTCATGTATGCCCTCCATGTACCTAGTTCGGTGTACTGTCTCGTTGACTTTGCAGAGGGTTAGGTTAGTTACCATATTGCCAGTGTTGATAGGTTGCCAGGTCGTCCACTTACGATTGATGATATTCGAAACCTGCGTGTACATACGATATGGTATGGAATAAAGATTTTCCCCATGGCCTTAAGGCATACCCGTACGCTTGATTCGAATGTGTTCTAGTGCATACTTGGACACAGAGGTATACACCCTCAGTCGCGCACTCACAACTAGCGCTATGATCTCACAAAGAAATTCTTACAGCAACTGTTAAAAGTCTGATGAGTGCGATGATAGTCACGATGCACTGACAATTTTGTGTGGTCATAAAATGCAACCAGCTGATATGGAATTTCCTGATAATATCGAACTCATAGGGTAGAATTATTGCAACTCTCGATTGTTTGCTAGCCGCGGTATATATACTAGCACTCAATATCCCACAAGCATCCTGGATTTCTACCAGTGGCAATTAGGTATAGTGTTCTCAAACAAATAGAGTAATCTCAAGGCTACGGAGCGTCTAATTTAATATGTCTATTATACATTATTGTGGAGGGAAGGTTGCTTAAAGCTATCAACTTCTGGCGCTTTTTTGGGAGTTGTTGGAATACTATGTTAACATAGAATGCATCTCAACAACAAGCGATGTAGGAATGATTGTACCATACTCCCTATAAAGAATGCAGAATGCCAAGCAGTGCTTCGATAAATGTCATGACGGTGTACACCCTGAGGTGACCACAGGGCTTTATATACTTCGTACGCACCAAATCGCCTTGGGCTGCAAATCGGCTCTAATTGTCCTTAGCAATCCCAGAGCGCACCCATAGTCTTCAGCTGTTCTCCCTCGCATATATTATAACACCAATCAATCTTTCACCTCTCCTGGAAGTAGAGAAGCATCCTGTCCATTCGTGCTACACTTGCAACCCAGTGAAAATGTAGAACCGGAACTGAAGTATTCTTTGTACCCGCAATCCCAGGAATGATCTCTAGCAATTCCATGGGTACTGGGGTTGGTAACCATTAGTTATAACACAATGAGAAGAACAGTAGGCATGACTAGGAGATATGTAGGAGTGACAAATACTCATATTCTTCAGTGAAAGCTTTCCAATCATCATCCCAACCAAGGCATTTGTTCAGGTTGAGTGATACGAGGCGACTTCCGTCATTTGGCATTTTACAGCGTCCCATCAAAGATATCGGGGGGTGGTGCACCTGCGCGACGTACAAAACCGCCTGGACCTGGTGATGCTAGCCGGTTTCGCTGCGGCGAACCCAGTTGTGAATGGGATTGTGGCTTTGGGTATGAAATAGATGGTTCCCAGTCAGGAGGATTCAACATGACCAAACCCTCACAATAATGATGAGACTTCGCCGTTTCAGCCTTTGGATCGACGCTTGGAACAGGTACGATGGCTTTAACTGGCTTTGGTTGTGAATTAGCCATGGGTAATCCACCAGCTGCTAGAGCTGATAGGTATAAAGATAGGAAAGCTATAGTCCAATACATCCCTACTGGATCTGAAATACATGGCACAGAGTCGTCAAGGTCGAATAACAGGTGCAGGGTCTGTATAGTATTCACTCGATATCACACAGAGCCCACGTAGACTATATACTTGACGAGCTCTATTGGGTGGTCCTAGGAGATTTAGTAAGGTGAGGCATTCAGGTCTTCTAAACGCTTGGCCTGTATTGAATGAGGAACAATCCTCCCTCCACTAGGGCTATCCGGGCGCTGGTCAGAAGCTCAAGAGCTATATGATAACTACGCAAGTGATGCTGATTGGTGGGGAAGTGTCTTAATTAATGAGCCAAAATAGGATGGGGGCAAACGGGACGTGTCGGGGCAACGCAGGCCTTTGCCACAAAGCAAAAGTGGTAGGTAGTTTTTGAGAACGGATCGTGTTGAGAGGACAGATCATAGAAGTCCGGGGTATTGTCTTGCTCGTGCAGGTGCTGTCCAATACGGCTGTGGCTCGTGATATTAGATGGACTGACAGCCACCAAGTCGAACTCCTCGAACTGCCACGCCTATGTATCTGAGATCCACCAGGTCTAGTTCCCCAAACGATGGGACATATGGCCTGAGGTACTCATTCTTCGTCTTCCTTCAACCTTCCAGGCATGAGTCATCGTCATGCGTATTGCCGTAAACGCCATCCCATGATACCCGAATGACGATGACGTCTGTAATGTGCGGTAGATGATTTCAATACACGTTTATGATATTCTCCTGTTCCCTCTTGCTTTCTCGGCTTGTGTCAACAAGGATTCCAGCAATATGGGTATCGTCAGTGGTATTCTTGGTTGCCATCCCGCTGGCATCCCTTGCCTGCGCAGATGGAGACGAAGAGGTACAGGGACCTAAACATTGATCACCTGCCAACAGAGCTGGTACCAACGATCGTACAGTATCTCCATGCGACAGAATATGCTTGACCCTCTGTAATCAACGACTACTGAGTGTGCTAGGAAACGGGCATCAGCTTCCATTAGATAATGAATTCCGACCCTTTTTCCTCACAAGAGTGAGCCGAGATCTATCCGATCACATCCACTGTGACAAATGCTCAGTCATACACTACCGGGAGTATATTCCACCTCCGGGCCCTGCGTTGTGGCCTAGGAGATCGCTAGTCAAGCATAGGTGTCGTTACCAGCTGTGGTCGTTTCCGTTTAGCATAGAGTGGAGCTCGCTTTATCGATTTGAACATCTACATCTACAACTAGCCATGAAAAGGCATCATTGTGCTTCGGGACACGGTGTGTCCACAAAGTCGCTGGTTTATCTTGAGATCTGGACGTTTGAGAAGTCCATTACGACCTTATTTTCAGTCGACGCGCTGATTGTTCGAGTATCGAGCCTCTGCCTTCGCATCCAAACTTGGATATTGGCAAAAAGAATTACCCTACAAAACCGTGGAGCGCACATAGATCTATACACACATATCGATAAAGGATCACCATATTATCCAGATTGTCCGTGCCGTTTAGGATGCCAACATCAGCTCTTTACAGGAGTACCCACGGGGCTTAGATACATATCGTTGTGTTGCTTGCGGACTATACTATCAAATCTATGCTACTTCCTGTGGCAATGAAGGTGTGACCCTGATCATAACTAAATGGCACGACTTGGGACCGGGCCTTGATTCGGTAGACGTTAGATGGACAAGACATCTACTGGGCCCACCGTATCTGCGAAAGGATGTAATGGCCATGTTGAATAGCGATGTCCGCTTCACAGTTTGAGCAAGGAAATATATTCCCACTCGATGATCTGACTTGCCGGAATCGGTCGCTCTTGGAGGTTAGAACATACTTAAAAAAGGACAGATTGGTGGTACAACGGTTGCTGGATTTTGCAGGCCAACAAACGCTTGCCATGGTTCTATCCTTGGCCACAAACACCGACCCATCAGATTTGTAAGCCGTGATTCGCGACGTTGTTATGGGTCGTACCTCACCGTTTAGAATGTGCAGCATCCTTGTTCACATCTCTCTGACAATTCTGGAATATAGCTCTATTGCACTCGGTGGCCTACCCGGATGCAATGCTAGAGAAACCCTTTCCTGCTTATTTAGTAGTTGAATGATATTGCTCTTCAACCTGACCTCTGTTCCGCCCGACTGGGTGCCCAAGCTCTAGCTAACGTATGACATGTACTGAGTACAATAGGCCATAATGACATACTTTCTATTTCCCATCGGCACATGGTCCTTTTCGCATTCCGTTCCTGTCTATGGCCTGCAGGGCATCACTGATATTATATGGTAATATAATACCGACAGGGACCGCAAACCACCACATCTCGCAGTTGTATGGGCTATTATCGAAGCCCTTTGTTTTCTGTCGGACCAGCTAGATTAACGGGTCTCCTTTAATTTAAATTGCCCGACTTGCGGTGCAGCGTTCAATATCACGCACGGGAACCGACCCGGCCGTATTAGGCCTTCTACGAACGGGGACCAACAGAGAGCTTACGTTTTTGGTAGGATGATATTAGTCCAGGTTCTCATCAATCCTCATGTAAGTCTTTGTAACCTGTGGAATATCGGCATTGTCCTGTAAAGCCTTTCAGAAAGGCGCCATGTCAGTACGTCACGAAGGCCTGGGATTAGTCTAAGATATAACATACTCACTATGAAAATGTTTATTGTAGTAGGGTGTACCTGTTAAGATGTACTCAATGAGTATACCCTGTGGTCAGGGAAACGTTATAGCTTCATATTGCACACTCAACTGAACGAATAATAAGGGATACGACAGTACGGTATACTGCTGTACAATATGAAGAAGATAACCACGCACTCTGTGGTAGGCCATTTTGGCCATACTGCATACCAACCCAACGCCCCAAAAGCGGGACAGCTCGCTGCAATTGGCAATATCAATCCAAAATCCGCGGATGCGCAATGACCAGGTTTCTACTGATCCTAGACAAGGCCGGGGTATGTTAGCCTGCTTTAACGGTGCAGCACAGTGACTGTGGACCGAGAGTTGAGTGGCCCCGCCCGTTGGCCGACTGAGAGTTTCGCCATGGGGCGCTGGGTGCTGATGCTGAGACGAACACAGAATACTTATTCTTGTTCTAGGGTATGAACGCCACTCCCCAGTAAAGCCGACTGGATCAATCTAATCCATCTAATGCTTGCATGGCATTGGTAGAGTCTGGAAAGCCATCGATGTGGGAGGTAAGGAATTTTTGACAGTAGAATACTGGCTATTGCTATGTCTCACCAGAGCAACATTTCCTTTACCCACTGATTTTAGACTTCAACGGTAGCTCTAGTAAAGCGTGCATACTACGATATATTTATCGAGCTGAGACATGGTACAAGAAAGCTAGGGCGTTCTGGATACTAACGAGTGGATGCGTAGTTACACGAGCCCAGGTAGCCAAGAGTTAGATATCCACATAACGCGAATCCTCTGATAAGCTTCCACAGACAGCAGTTTACGATCGAAGGTCCAGAGGAGCCACAACGGCCAACCGGGCTTAAACACTGATTTCACCGTCAATCGGGTGATCAACCTGGTTGGCAGCGGTATCATCGATAAACTTTTGAACATCATCTTTGACTCTGTCCCACTGGTTTTCGTTCAGACTAAGATCGGTCAAGTGAAAGTCAAAGCCCATCTTGACCTCTTGATGGGTCGTCTTGTTGGAAACATACTCAACCATCTCGGCAGTGATCGAGTAGTTGATAATCCGGAAGTCTGCATTAGACAATTAGCGACATCATCACAGCATCAGTTGAAAGAACAGAGGACAGGCAATCCACCTACATGTCCGAACGTCATCTGTGGTCTCATCATAGAGGAACACGTGAAAGAGTGACCAGACAGTGCGAGACTGCACCTGGTTCTTGTTCTCGACAATGAGATTGGCAAGGCCAGAAAACACATCTTCGATGGTCTTCGAGATGCCAGTAATCCCATCAAGAAGACCGACAAGCATGTCCGAGATCATGCTGAGGTGAAACTCAGTCTTTGTAGTATCAATGTGGTTCTCTGAATAGACCTCATTATTGTGCATAACCCTATCACAACGATCTCAAGTCAAACCAGGCCTTAGCAATGGGTCAGGAGCGATGATTGACTTACCAGGCACAATCTTCGGTAAGAATTGTGTCGACCACCTTATTCCGGTAGTCAGAGCGTTTCAACCCTGATTCTGGACTCGAATCACTTGGCAGAGTCCCATCGGCCTTTCGGTGTTTAACCTGAATACCAGCGTGGGTGTCAAGCCACGATTGCATTAGATTCATCGCTTCTTCGAGCTTCAAGACACGGTCATGAAACCTCGAAGGGATCTGGTTCGCATTGACGTTGATGTAGCTCCGGGTGTTCGGGTCATCCTTTCCCATGTCAGCGTCGCTCGGCTTGTCTTCATCCTTGTAGCCGCTGCCCGGCGGGGGAAGAATGATGGGTATTTCTCCAAGCGCGGAGAACTTTTGATTTTTGAAGGCAGACATTGTAGTGAACGAAAGGAAGCTTTAGAATACTAAATGTGAGAAGATGTATTCAAGGAAGAGATGATGTGTATGTTTCTGGTTTAATTGAAAGCTACATAGGACTCCAATGGCCTCTCTTTATACTTTGTCTCGGTGGTGAGCGAACGCCTTTACCATACAGTTCAAGTCGCCATGCTACATCATTGTACTGTGGAATAACACGCGGAACGGTTAGACCATACAATCGAATACTTTGCCACCCAGCCAATATGTGACAAGATTTGCCATCCGATCGAAGCCAGACGCAAGCCACGTAAGTGTTTGTGTATGTATCCTATCAAGACATGCACAGCAGTGCAAGGACTATCGGTGTGCCATTATTATCGAAGGTAGGATTAGACTGGTCGGAGCGTCTCCCCTTCCCCGGTTATTAGTATAATAATCTATATGTTATGCATGCAACAGACAGGGATCCAGGCGTGCATCCGCTGCTTCGTTGGCTTAGTGTGATATCGGAACTTCCGGACAAAACACCCCTGTCTGTGGACGTTGGCGGCTGGCGGAAAAGTCTTCAGCTGAATTGGTGCGGGGTACAACCGTTGCTTATTATTCGTCAATGAGACAGTATTCTGCTTGGCAAAAAATGCCCGAGTACCTTTGCTGATGTGCATACACATATGCAGGCTGCCCGGAGAGTTGATATCCACCCCACTCATGGCTTGTGAAGCGGTATATTCTCCCCGAAATGGCCGTTGGTATGTAAGCCTTGCTAGGATGAGGCCAGGTTGCACAGAGTTATGCATATAGAGCGATGCGACGTGATTATTCGGTTTAATTACCCGACCAATATGGGACACCGTCGGCTTGGCCTGTTATTGTTAGTTGCTTTGCCCCTGCCCATCGGCGGGGAACCTGAATGGAATGTGCAAAGTTTGAATTAGCATAACTCGATATAGTTATGTTCCTAGAACCAGGTCAGTTCGTAGAAATGGTATCTCGAATCATATTATAGGGCCTCATGGGGTAATAGTAATAGAATTTATGATTTGCGTTGGGCATATATACGAAGAAAGTGGCGGCATGTCGTCGAAACCAGATAGCTCGTTGTATTTGATTATCGTCCAATAATTCACATAAATGTGGACAATGCCCTTGTAAGCTGACCCTGCTATAGCATGTGGTAGATTTCCCACAAAGCCCTGTAGTACTGATGCAACTGTGAGGTCTGCCAAGCATGGGAGGTATCTGAACACCTCGCTGCATACAAATCCCATCGGGGAAGAGATTCAATCTTACGTTGCATAGCTAGGTTAGGAAATAGAGCAGTGTGGCATTTCGGATGCACAACTACTGGGTGTCTTCCAAGCTTGCTGCATTTGTCCTATTACAACTCAAACTTCATCGTGCATGTCTCCAGCACGCTGTGCGCGGGGCACCCATTTGAATGGCCTTCTTTTTTGATCCTTGCAAGCTAAGACGCATCATGGAGGACTGTCTAGATTCATCTATTCAGCTGAGTTTGGAACATTAAACATGCGATGCTTCCGACATTGCAGTTCAGTACGTCATTCTATGGCCACGCAATCTCAGGAGGAACTAATAATTGGGACGGGCTACTCACCTTGCACTAGTCAAGGCTCCAGCGTCAACACGGATTGGATGGCTGGCACCTTCGTATAGGGTTCAGCCCTCGACAGCACCTTGTGTTTCGTCACAGGACTAGGAATATTTCAAGAAACAGCCCTGTCACTGCAGAGTGGAGGAGCCAAGGGTTTAGCTGGGCTCCGTAAAGCGAGCCACTAACTCGCAGACGCATTCCACATAATGAGAAAGTGAAGCTAGAACACGCAATCCTTACTCTAATCACTAGGATAAGGAATGCCTCACCTCCTCGGATCGCCTCCGGTGACAAGTCTTGAATTGGAGTATTTAACCGTATCAATCCTCCTACATACCGAGGCCTCGAACGCATAGCTCTACCCTCGCTTTATACTAGTTTAACACAAACCTCCACAATGTCCCCATACACCCACCTACCTGCTGTTGATCCTTCCCTCTTGTCAAACAAACAACATGCAAGCATCCTCAAGGATCCAGAGGTAGACGTTACAAATGACTATGGAACCCCTAACCTTCTTTTCTTTTACTTTGTTCCTTTCCTCCCGGATGACAGAAAGCCCGATCTTCAAGCTCTGCAAGACGAGATCCAGTCCTGGAATGCATGGGAGCTCGGTCAGACGGAAGTTCAGGTTAGGCACAGGATTGCGGACAAATCACTTCCCAGTGATGATTCCACCGCTTCCCGTGTGAAACGAACCAACTATCGAGCCAAGGTCGTTGACTATCTTAGGGAGTTGAGCGAAACGACATGGTGAGTACTCAAAACATAGTCTCTAATGCTGGTTTGAAGGGCAGGGTTCTAATAAGGAATCACTCCCTAAGGCTCGTTAAAAATGCCGACAGCCATAGCGGGCCATTCTCGGCGGACATAGACGTGGCCGAAGTGAATGGAAAGATCCGAAATGTACTCAAAGGTTTCTATGGCCAGGAGTTGCTACCTGCTCAATTCTCGGTCATTCTGAACATCATTACCGATCTAATTGCGTCTCAGCCTGATACTGACAACAAGTATTTATTCACTTACGTCAATTATCACTATGACGATGATCAGAAAATCTTTAAGCCAGGTATGTATGACCCATAGAGATTATTGCGTTTCAGGCTATACTAAGGCCTGGCCCAGATATCCGTCAGCTACAGTTCAGTGTAACGCAGACAACCGCGGAAGAAGGGAAGGACACAGTCAAGCTGGACATATCGAACTTGAACCATGTGTACTCTTTGCTGAGAGAGAAATGGAGGAGTGTCCGCCACGAGGCTGAGGAGATTATCGAAGCTGGCGAGAAGATTCGCAAGGAAATGGCATTAAACTTTTATTTCAGCTAGGGACTGTTTAGCTGTCTGTCCTTTCTTGGTAGTGTGCTTATGTCTAAGACCTATGAGTACCAATAGAATCTAATTAATCAGCAGATATTTGGTCCATGGTCTTGCCCGATTTCCGAAGCTGCCGGAGGTTAGCGATGGCGTACGCCACATCAGTACTCTAGATGCCTTGGTGGTGCCTTGGTAGGGTGACTCGGTTCATCTTGTGCCTTTTTTTTCTTTTCTTTTCTTTTTTTTTTTTTGGTATAGAAGGTATAGTTTATCTGCACTCGAGTTCTAAGGATGTTAATTCTACTAACGCTGCCTCTATTGGAGTTAAGTTGAATGAATTGTGTTGGTTTTCTACATCTTAAAAGTCGGTCCACAGTATAACTCCAATTCCCACTGTAAAGTTACATCCACAATACATACTAGCAGAATAATTTCCGACTTGCTCATGTTAACGTCCCAGTATAAACATGGGGGACTGAACTCAGGCTTGTTGAATATAGACATATACAGGCTGATATCAGCTTTGAATCATAATGGCATCCCTGAATGCATTCCATGTGCTTATGAACAGACATGGAAACTTAACTTTCACGGGCCACGTAAGTGATAGTTATTGATAATGCATGAGTTGAGAGATCAACTACAGGGTTTGATATGTTCTAATATAAGGCCACACCTCTGAGCCTACTGTAACCTGCAACAACAGCGGCGTCCGGGGACTCTCGCATGCCGATCTCCTGTAAGCTGGGCACGCAGGCGGGGCATTGCGGCTGAGGGACCCATCTAAGATTCAATTGCATAACTGGTTGGAGGGGAACTGGCGGTGTACCTCCACTTGATTTAGTTCAAGTATTGGACATAGCTGGCGCGAGTGGCACTGCTGCGCTGAGGGTTAAAAGACTGAGAATTGTCGATTACCAGAAATTTCCAAATTCTTTGATCGGCCTATTGACCGCGACACCTGTGTATCTACTATGTTTAACAAAATCCTAATCTGATACAATGATCCCGCCATAAACTATCCCCTTTAACAAAAGAGTATAATAGTAGAGTACTTCTCGGTTCCAACTCTGAATTTATAAAGACAAGCTGATGGGTCTTGTCCTATGCCACTGCGTGCCTTGTCCTTTCACAGTACGAGCTCTTTACGATGAGAATGTCTTATACTATTTTACTACCTTCGGTATTGTACCACGGAGGCCAAACCGTGGGGTTGACGTGTACTCCACCAGATGCGTTTCCTTCTCTCAACGGTTCCGCTTTCAAGGTTGCAGCGGTCCGCGAGCCTCCAGTTAGCTTTGCGCTACCTGTAGGGCTCAACAAGACGTGGGTGGATTTGGACCTACATGGTAATATAGCTCAGGCAATCGAGATAATCCAGGAGGCAAAAGCAGAAAATGTTGCTCTCATCGCGTTTCCTGAGCTCTGTTTTCCTGGCTATCCAGTGGTGAGCCTACACTTCGAGGCCTTCTAGTGGCTACTTTGCCCTGCTAATACGCGAGGTAGGGAATAAACATGGCCTACACGCCTAGGAATCTTGAGCAATATGTATCTCAATCCATGTCCGTTGATGGCCCGGAATTTCAACAACTGGTGGATGCGGCTACGCCCCTCGGGTGTTGAGCGTGACATTTGGTCTGACGGAGATCCCGCCGGGTTCGTGGTTAAGATCACCCCGTATGGCCGTATCGGCATGCTCGAGTGCTGGGAACATTTTCATGTGAGTGGTGATCCATGTCCAGTCTGTTCAAGGGTGGTGAGGGCGAAGAGGTGCACGAGTTTAACACTCTGATCTTCCAGCCGACTATGTACTTCCCCATGCTGGCACAGCTAGAGAATATTCACATCGCCGCATTCCCGTGAGTCACTCCTTCATCTGCTCCCCTGCACGGTACCAAGATGGTGCAAGAAACTGATTGTCTATGAGAAGCTTTTCGGCAGATTTAGGGGTCGACCCAACAGCTTGGAAGGACGGCGAGGTAAGTCTCGCCGCAGCGCGCTGGTATTCGGCGAACATGGGCGGCACCGTTCTGATGCCGGCAGCGGGGTCCGCCGCTATCTTTGTCAATGGTGGTAAGACAGCCAACATCACCAATGCAACGGCCAATCTCTCCTGGAGATACGTGACAACCACCATCGACACCACTCAGTTCTTCAACACTGCTTTTGACATCAATGGTGAATATAGCTGGGCTGCACTGAAGCAGGTCATTGAGAATTATCCTTCCTATATTCCAAAGGTGGATAGTAGTTTCTTTGACAAGAAGACCGTCAACATTCACAATATCACTTCTTGACTTGTCCGGGTCGGGTTGGTCAAATTTCTCTCAAGCATCCCAGCAAGCGGGAATTAGCACTATTGTGACGCAGGTGTGCTACGAGGACAAACCGCAAGGGGCTTTTGATATCAGTCTTTAACCTGAGAAACCTGTGCGCATCTATTTATCATATGCAATTCTATCTTTTATCCCTTATGATTATCACCTCGACGCTCATTTAGTGAAAGGTCCTTAAGTGATGATTTGACTCAACGCAAAAGCTCGAGCATATCGCGTTTGCGCTGTAGAGGATTTATTGGTAACAGATTGCATGCTAGCTTTAACTCTTTGGAGGGCGGGTAGATAAGAAGCAATAGAACCAGTGCAGAACAGTGAGAGTTAGCACCTTAAGTATTATAAAAAAAGTCCTCCTCATTACAATCCATTTCGCCAGTATGCCCCCCTGTTGCCCCATAGTGCACAATATCTCTATGATTTGTCTTAAATGAACAGGTGACCTTTTTTACAGCACGTGCTTGACCTATTCAGCTGATTGGAATCTTTTCCAGATGTGACTTTTATCACATAAGTGGCTCTGCTCTATACAACCTAACAGCCAAAGAACCCCAGCCTGAATCTGTAGCGCGGTTAGCAGAGTGTCAAAGAGTTTCCAGCATTGATATCCACAGTTCGGAAAAGGCTGTCTAGGACATCATACTGTCCATTACTTATATTTGATTTTGTGGTATATTTCAAACTGAGGTGTCACTATCGAGTATCGACACTTAATTAAATTTATTTTTCAGGTTTTACTATATTTATTTGTAAGCTATAATAGTCCAGATAAGTGGACGTTATTGACCAAGCCAGTTATGAGCATGAAATATTTACTATATCGTATACATCATAAGTACCTTACGGCTTCCAAGATTTTTTTTTTGTGGGTACAGTTACTGTCATGGCTCTTACGTCTAAGGGCTGCTCGAATAATCACTAAAGAATACGGAGGATTAAACTAGAAGCGTAAAGGCTATCTATAAGTTCAATGATATAGTATTTAATATAGAAATACATATTGCAGGATATTACTAGAAAATGAGGGGCGTATGACCAGAAGTGGGTGGCAGCCGTGGTAAATTATTAGGGTTGCGGTCAAATTGCTCAAAATGCGATGTATTCTCTGTGAGCTTATGTTAGTCCTTTTGACTTGTGAATAGGCACAGGCAGTTTCATCACAATGCCCGCGCATTAAGGTTCAAGGTGACCACCTGTCCGTTGAGTGGTCCCTAACAAATGAAGTTCCCACGGTTCGTAGACATTTTTCATTGTTTCCCAAGAATAATCTGGGTCCATGCACGCCACATGCGCACTAAATTTATTGACACGGTTATTCAGAAGCGGAATCTATTCCCTCATCCGATATGATTGGTGGCCGTGCCCGTGGGCCTTATTGATATCTCAATCAGGTCTGCTCCAGCGCACTCCACTTTGTCACGCTGTCCAACTAAATAAGTGAATGAAAAATGGTGCTTCCACCTAGAAAGATGTCTTCTAATCTGGCCGTCCTCTTTTGAATAGTGAGGGAGGCTATTCCTTTCCTTTTCTCGTTGTTACGCGAGAGTCAACTCTCTTTCACCACGATATACCAGTCCTATATCGAAATGGAGAAGATTTATCCACGCAACTACGAACCTGTCCACAAGGCAGACAATGATAGAGATCCTAGTGATAGTGATACTACGTTGACAGTGCGGCCACGACGCCACTCCGTACAGCAGTTCCTCAAGCGCAACCTGGCCACGATCACCATCACAGGGCTCCTCCTGATCCTGGGGCTGCTGGTAATTGCACTGATTGCAGCAATCACTCTCCAGCCTGTTGGACAAGCCCTAAGCCTAGAACACTCGTCGGTCTACTTAGACTCCCACCATGACGGCCAGCGACAGTGTCTCCCCGCAGCGCCTCGGACCAGACTCTCCTGCGGCAATTCCACTGACGAGGCTGAAGCGCTCGGTTGCACATATGACCCGCTTTCAGCATGCTGGCTGCACCGGGAGTGTCCGCACGACTATGTGACGGAGTTTACCGAGTTTAATAATGGCAAGCCGTTTATATACTACTATGATAAGGAAATGACGCGTCAGATGAAGGACTATGATGAAGTCGGTCGCAACGTCAACGGGTTCTATTGGACTTCCAACCGGGAACATTTGGTCCACTGTCTATATCTCCTGCGGCGCGCTCATGATGTTCACATGCGTGGGGATCGCCTGGACACAATGCTGGCCGATCTGGAACATACCGATCATTGCACGAACATGTTGACAAATTGGCTACGGAGACCGGATCCTGCGCTAGATGAGCTTGGTACACAGGGCCAAACGCATTGCTTCATGTCCTGCAGTTAGTGTACGGCAATAGTACCGGGAGAGGAGGAAACAACGAAGCACACACACACACACACACACACACACACGAACACAATGGATCTCACTAGTTTACAATATGGCTCTTGCTGTCTCTGTCTTACCGTTTCTGGTCTTCATCCTCATCTTCCTTTTCTCGGCTTTATGTTGTTGTTTTTTTTTTTTTTTTTCCCTTCTCTCTTCAGACTTTCCAGCGAACTTCACCCTTTGTGGATTAATATTATTTCTTTCGATTGAATGCAAGAATTGAGTTTGGCCACCATAAAGGTGCCAGCGCTGAGCATTTTTGCTACCCCCTTGACTTCTCTCTAGTTTTTTTATTTCTTACATGCTTCCTGGTTTGAAAGCCTTTTGGGCAACTTTATAATTCTTGTAGGAGCTTGTCAGTATAGGGAGTCTTAATTTGCCATCCCTTGATACTGGCTAAGTAGCTCAGTCCACTGACTCGCTCATGAAGAGAAACTGGCCATGGGCACGATTCATAGACCCAAAGAATGGAAAAGATAGACAAACTTGGGAGAAACAACATTTTCCAACACATCATTGGGAATAGAAGATTGCAACATAAGGTATGCGGTCCAGAAAGCAATTCAACCATTTTCACTGATCTACATTCAAGACAAACTTTATTCTCTTCTTAACCCACGTGCATTTCCGAGACCGGAAAGATATACATAAATACGTCCATACGGCCGACAACGAATGCCAAATATGCAATCAAAGGGATAGATTTCGGCTGACCCTTGTTTTCTCCAAAAGAGCAACTATCAACACCCAGCAGAACAGTGTTGTAATATCTACGTGTGCGAGTCCATGGGTCTCTTCAGTAAGAACAAGCCGCCTCGTCCCAAAAGGGTTCCGACGGACACCGTCGTACCACTGTCATTCGCAGATGATCAGCCACTTTTACGCGGAATCTCCGTGAATATTACTTACCGATTTGACGATGTACTTGACACAGAGGTGCTTCGCCTTTCGCTGGAGCGGTTGTTAGAGCTGGATGGCTGGCGGAGGCTAGGCGCGCGTTTACGACTGAATGTATGTATTAATTTAGACTGTATGGTGTGGCTGGTATACAACCTGGAGCTGACATCCATTTAGGATAATGGGAAATTGGAGTACCATGTGCCCGCGCAATATGATGCGAAAAGACCCGGAACAGAATTCACGGTGGCGGGTTATTCCATGGGCATCGACAATCATCCTCTGGGAGCCAAGTTCCCTCAAGCTAGCTCGCAACCCGCGTTGGTTGGCTGCCCAACGGAGCTCATGCCTCTCTGCTTAGGACCTCACAGCCCACGGCAGATCGAGGACTGGCTTTACTCAGACAGACCGCAATTGGCTATTCACGTGGTATCGTTCGACGATGCCACGCTCATGACAGTTACGTGGATACACACGTTAGCCGATGTCATGGGGTTGGCCGGCTTCTTCAAGGCATGGACTGCCGTTATGAGCGGACGAGAAGAAGAGGTCCCAGAGTTTCAGGGAATTGGCGAGACCCCATTCCAGCAACTAAGCGAGGGTACTTCAGGGGAGCCCTATGTTAATGATAAGTTCCTGGTGCAAGGCCGTGGGCTATTGTGTTTCGCATTATGGTACATTTTTGAGCGGATCTGGTACCCACGCGAAAAGGAGCGCATAATGTGCATCCCGGGACGCTTTGTGGAACAAATGCGGGCCGACTCACTGGATGAGCTGAAGCAACAGAATAAAGAAGAAGGCGCGCCGTTCCTCAGCGAAAGTGATGTGCTCCTCGCATGGTGGACACAAGCGCAAACGAGGGCGCTGGACCCATTCCGCAATCGCATGACAACAGTCCTAAATGTCTTTGATGTCCGTGGAATAGCACTTCCAGAATCCACCATAAATAATACTGCCTTTGTCACCAACGCCGCCCAAGGATCTTTCACATTTCTACTCGCGGAACAGATCATTAACCACCCAGCTAGTGTTCTTGCATCCCAGATCCGCCGTAGCCTAGTACAACACCGCACAAAGCCCCAGGTTGAGGCTTTCTACGCGCGATACAAGACTCATTCGGAGAATATCCTTGATACACCGTTGTATGGTGCATCGAACGGTCTCATACTCGGTTGCAGTAACTGGAACAGAGCTAGGCTCTTTGACATGGACTTCTCCGCAGCTGTCATAACGAAGGAAACTCGGGGGACTGACTGCACGCATGGTCATGGAAGACCATCGTACATCAATCCTGTACTTCTGGCGCCTGGCCTTTCCTCGCGTAATATCGGAAGGATTGTGGGAAAGGATGCATCAGGAAATTGGTGGCTGGCGTGTACTTTGCGAACAGGCACATGGCCAGCTATCGAGGAGGACCTGAAGGCCTTAGGGACGACGGATATTGGGTGAGGTTGGGGTAGTGTAAGTTACATATATATTCGGGGTTTCATAATTTCTAAAGCACGAACAATGTACTATAACAGCTAGAAATGGTTAAATATAAATCAGAATAACGCTTTTCCTACGTTGATATAATAATGTACAATTATATGTGATCTGTCGTATGCTCGTGTACTACAATAGCAACTACAATTCTAGATAGTATTGCGGGAATATAGCATTATTAGTGATAGCCTGCTCGTGAGACTATATAATAGATCGAATCTCTGAATTGTCAAGCATTGTACCAGAAGTAGGTATTATAATTTAATAGGCTACGAATGCAAGATACTCACTGTTGTACCCCGGTCCCCACCTTGCGAATTCAATTGTTGTATGACAGCGAAATACAACTAGTTAGTACATATTGACTTGTAAAAATGTATTATTAATTGATGATTAATTAAGTTATCCCTGTGTATAAAAGTGCACTGGAGAATCGAATGCATTTTATGCGCGGACCTCGGCTGCCCCCGCTTTATAATTTATCTTAGGGTTGCAGATCATCTGTCACATTGGGTCAGATGCGGTTCCTCTTTATCTTCCCCTGTTGCCTTTCAACCTGTTCCAAACTTATTCACCACTTGTGTTAAAAAGTTGAAGGTGCTGGAATTGCCGCCGCAAGAATGGCACCACACGCGAAGAAATGGCCCTCGAGAGAAGGTGCGCTAACCACCGCTCCCATATCCTTTAGGCGGGCTAACAGAAGCTAGGGTTCACGGCCGATGTGGTCGGTAATTTGATCCACCGCACCCTACTGAGCCCCTGGAAGATGGTACCACTGCTAGTACTAGCCCAGTATACTGTCAAGGGCCGTGAGATCCTCGAGTCGCGCCCGGAGGTGCTCAAGGCCCTCAAAGTGCTAGCCTCGCTGGCTGTCCTTCATCGGCTCAGCGCCTGGCTGGACCGTCGCTCCGTCAATAATGGCTTGAAGGACCATTATGACTGGAACCGTGAAGTGGTAGTCCTGACTGGTGGTAGTGGCGGGATTGGCCGGCGAGTTGCGCAGCTGTTCGGCGATCGCGGCATTAAGGTCGCCATCCTGGACATCGCGCCCCCGGCAGATTCATTGCCAAGCAGTGTACGCTACTACGAATGCGATATTACATCCCCCGAAAATATCGCCGAGGTGGGCAGCAAGATTCGCGCCTCGTTCGGCAAGCCAACCATCCTGATTAACAATGCGGGCATCCTGACCGGCAAGACCATCCTCAGCACCACTGAGGCCGTGACCCGACGCTTGTTTGATGTCAACACTCTTTCGCACTACTGGCTGGCGCGGGAGTTTCTGCCGGACATGATCGCGAGTAACCACGGAATGGTGGTGACTGTCGCCTCCCAGTCTGGCTACACCGTCACCCCCAGCATGGTCGACTACTCGGCTTCCAAGGCCGCTGCCATCGCTTTCCACGAAGGTTTGGCGGCCGAGTTGGTTACCCGCTATCAAGCTCAACGTGTCCGTACCGTGCTAGTTACCCAGGGCTTCACGCGCACTGCCTTAATTAACAATCTGACCCCCGAGGATACCTTCTTGGCTCCCCTTCTACACCCCGACACAGTCGCCGAGGGCATTGTTGATCAAGTCTTGACTGGCGAGAGCGGTAATGTTCTTTTACCCAGTGCTTCTGGGACCCTCGCGCAGCGTCTTCGCGCTTATCCTATGTGGTTCCAGCATTCATTGCGGTGCCGACTGGAGCGGCTCATGCGTGCGGACTAGAAGTATTTTGTGAAGCCGTCTGGGAAATCTTTATAACCAATTTGTCACTTTTGGATACCACTGCACTTGCACAATTTTTGTGGGGTTCTTTTTCTTTTTCTTTCTTTTTCTTTTTTGGCTGTTGAATTAATTTGTACGCAGTGATTATGTGGGTTTCATCTCAGACCCTCTAGGTAATCGAAGCTGAGAACTGCTCTTTCCAGGGTACCCTGATCGCCGATTGGCGAGAACTGATGTATCAAGAACTGATAGCTTTATCCCTTATCGCACAATGTTTAACCATAATGTCCATACAATTCTCGCCAAGCAACCAAGGTCCCAGCGTCGCTAGGGCATCTGGTAACACGTGCACCCAGCTTCAGTATATCTAAATGTCGGTACAGAGCCTTTGTAGATCCCAGGCGCGGTACTTGGCTGCCCAGCCGGTGTCATTCTCGATATCCTCAAGAAGCACAATTGCTGCTTCTCTTTCGTCGTCGTTGCTAAAACAGCATCCAGCTACAGTTGCAAGGCATCAGTAGAGCACCTAACTAACACAGAAGAGCCAATGTTGCATACCGTAGTAAATCGGCTGAACAGAATTTACGCGACAGCTTCCGTGCGGCTTGCTTTGAGCTATACCACATATTTGTCTTGCGTGGTATAGTAGTTTTCCCTGACGATAGCTTAGATTCATTTGCGGGGACGTGATCACGGGCATACTAACCTCTATACTCCTAAACGCGAGCATGCAACTACAGTCCTGCGTAGGGCAAGATGTAAGGAGTAAAATCTGAGCAAGATGAAACATCTGCCACGAGGAAGCTGCATGTTGTCAGTCAGTCCATCTTCTGGATTGTGGGATGGACTTTACCACAAACACCTCTCGCAAACCATATTGATGTGAAAGGTTTATCATCCTCCTTGTACACTGAGACTGGGTCCATGAAGCTCCTGTCCTTCACTGAGCGGTTCCAGTGGTCGAGTAACTCGCACAGCCTGTACCATTCGTTGAGTGCGTCACTCGTAGACGTGGCGTCTGAGCACGCTATGAAATTTACCACCTTTGCAAGAATTGTGAGGACCCTTTATTTGTCATAATTAATCATGGTGACCAAGGTACAAGCACATTGAAGCACTTACTGGTTATTAACCAGGTCCTCACTACCTTCCTGACCTATATTATCCAGGTCAATTGCCCATAAATCCGGGTCTAGCCTCAGTTTTGATCGGTGCATGATGGAGCAGACCACCTCTTGTCGTGCGATCGACCAAAAGCCAGCCTGCTGGATCCCGCCAGAAGACCCGTTCACTCTGCGCACTTTGCTGAAAGAGAATACCCCGTCGAGGTGTCTTTGCCAGTCTGACGCAGGTGCATCTAACATCTCGTAGCACGAACAAATGACTGTAGCTGCAAAGCCATAGCTGACGAATGGTTCGTCATTATTGCCGAGTCTATTTATTAGAAGGGAGATCGCGGTATTGTAATTTCTTCGTGCGATATCCATGCCATTTGGTAATTTCCCGATCAAGAATTGTTGCTTCGCCGCGCATGCGATACTTGCTGCTTTGAGCAATGGGTCTTGCATTGCCAAACGACAGACCTTTTTTGAGAATGTCTCCGATAGGTCTGAGAGATCCATCCAGGTACCTACTTCGGTGCTGAACTGACGCAGTAGCCATGCTTCTTCCTGCGAGCTTAGAGGAGCCGGCGGTGCTAGCTTATCTGGGGTCTGTAGGAGTGTTACAGAGGCGAAGGGATTATCCTGGCGCCAATACCTCTGTGAGCTCTCCGATAGGGGTGGTGAGATGCTACTCGAAGTGTAAATCAATGGGGGGTCTGATGTGTGGCTCCTCATTGACAGCAGTGCCTCTGCTCCTTTGTTTGCGTTTGCTGTTACTACTGTGTCATCGGTAGAGTTGCTGGATCTGCTTATAGCCATGCTTCGAACCCTCTCTCCATCGCTCATCACATCGGAATCTCTTTGAGACTGTACAACAGAGATGCCATCTTGCGGATATGCATGCCCAGCCTCTGCTTGCGTTGCATGTTCGACAATATCCCTTGTAGTCTCATAGCAGGGAGTAGGACTAGATGGTAATAGCGTTGTACTTTCCTGGTCCGTTGCAGGCAAAGCTCCATATGCACTAGTCTTTGTTGTAGTAAAGGGTCTCTTTTGACATATTTCACTATGGTTGCCCGGACTCAGCACGACGGGTTCTTCGCTGATAACTTCGTACTCTGCTGCTATTGTGTTCGTCTCATCGACAAACTCGTCTACACCCGATTTATTAGTATCAGCATTTGCCAGGGAGAAATGATAATATCTTGGGATTCATACAGCTTGCTACCTCCAAGGCTGCGGTCCTGACCTCCACCCAGGTCTGGCCCGGTTCCCAAAGGCCCAAGTATCCATTCTCGCTAAGTGACGGGTGTCGCCAGTGTCTGAATGAAACCAAGTCACTGGGAATACACTCAATCCGAGCTCGCTCACAGTTCCGACAAAATGGTTTCCTCCCATCACATTTGACCTTGCGTGACCGGCATGTTAAACTGTCGGTGCTTTCTTTAGCTTAGGCGATCTAATCTGAATCCTTCTGACCTACCAGCCTACGTCACAATCAAGTCAGAATTTAGGGATCGGATGTTATAGACCCGTGCACTTACCAGTCCACGTACGCATTATCGCTATGATGGCCAAAATGGGCAGGCGAGCAGCATAGTGTTGTAGACGGGAATTGTATCTGTGGGAATACAGACGATGTTTCATGGTCGGCAATCATGCCGAGGTGGGACCTTTTCCCGGTGTTTTTTGGCCAATGCTCGTAAATCACTCGACTTGCTGCATGCGGGGTAATTTTCTTCCTAGGCTCTATTAGTTTTGCTATTTTCTTAATTTGAAGTTTTTATTTTCTTGAATTTACTATTAAAACCACGTTGTGAAGCTTGGTGCCGAAGCCAAGTTGAGAGTTGGGCGCATATAACTAGAGATATAAAAATTCCTGAGCACCCAGCTTTAGCAGTGGTCGCCCTTAGAAAGGATGGCCAACTCTCCCATTTGTAAGCCAAGGCAATGCTATTTGTGTGGCTATTCGGAAACAGATAATGATAATTAATTAGATTAAGTAAACACCGTTACTGTCTAACAATTTGCACAGCTTCCGACCTCACTAATACCAAAGCCCGTCATTTGGCTTAATCCCTTGCTTTCTACAGTGCTCATAGTACAAATGAGCGTAACTGAAGATATCCATCGTGTTCTTCAAGGTATCATCATCATGGAAATATTCCAAGCTACCCGTGATTGTGAAAACAACCTCTGCTCCTTTGGACATGTGTAGTGTATGGATCGTTCCCGGGTTTTCCACGACGTAGTCTCCAGGCTTTGCTACCCAGTTATACCTGATCCCAGTTAGCATATGTCTATCCTGAGCGCGTCTAACAGATATAACAACATACTCCTTGTAGTTCCATTCCCCCTTCAAGGTAACTGCAGTTACAGAACCTCGGTGGCGGTGTTTTCCCAACCATGTATCTTCTAAGCTGCGTAAGACAACGACAAATGTACCTGTGCGGCTCTCGAACCGCAATGGTTTCAACTCTAGATTGTTAAGCCATGGATGCCAGCAGGTGTCTTTTTCGCCGTCGATGTAAACGTCTGGCGAGCTGTATTTGTCTGCGAGGGCCAGCTCGGCTTTTTCAAGTGCGGTCAATTTGGACTCCTCATTGTTCGCTACGGCAGCACTTTTCGACGGCGCCGGACGAGAAGGGAGGGTGTGGTCAGGGTTCGATGATTCGGCGGTCATGATAGCGATTGTGCTCTCAGCTGTAGGATGACTTTGGAGTATTGAACAATGTTCGAACAGGGTGTCTTTCTTATTTATGTTCACTCTCAGAGCAGGCCCTGAAGTCTAGACTTGTCTCTCGGTAATTGATTTCCTGAGTAGGGACGATGGTGCTCTGGACAACGCATCATGGGCACCTTTGCATTAAACGACATACAGCACTCGACCACTAAGGGAGCCGGGATTTCTGGCACTGCATCGTCAGCAGACATGCCGTGGCTGTCAACCTAACTGAGCCGGGATCTGGTGTCCATTGAAATTGTGTATCTAGATACACCCTTTGTGCTCAGGGTATAGCAAGCGACATGACCGTCAAGAAAACAACAAATGCTATTGGTAATTACTATGCGCGGTGGCCCACCTTCGGCTGGCGAACTGTTAGGGGAGAGGCGCTCGGAAGGTAATCGAGCCGAGAGGGAAGGTCGCCTCGATGTCCGTACTTCATCCATTTCCGTGTCCCGGACTTCTTCCGACCCTTTACAAAAGTTGCCAGCTCCAGCTTGTTTATGTAACCTCATCTTACCCCGGATTCTCCCCACAATTCCCCCACGCCCGCAAACGGCCTATGGACTGTAATGAGTGATTAAGTGGATCTTCTATCCCGTCCGTATCGGGAATTGGGATGTCAATCCCACCGTATATAAGATGTGATGGGTCCAGAAAAATGCGTGGTTTCACGTGGCTCCTTGCCTCTAGCACGAGAGGGCAGATTGATCACAATTGAGCCGCTGTAGACTTGATTTCAAGCATGACAGTGTCAACCGCAACAAAGAAGCCCTATTTTGGCTTGACAGGAGGATGGCTCACATTCTGGGTCACAGTATGACAGTTTTAGAATCCTAGCGTTTCCCGATGGGCTGACATTCCGTTAGGTTGCTTGCGCAACAGATATGTCTTTGTTCGGCTACGACCAGGGAGTCTTCAGTGAGAATCTCTCCCAATGAACAAATGAAGGTTTCTTCTAACACCCCATAGGCGGCGTGGTTATCACACGAGACTTTCTAGAAGTCCATGACCTGGTCGGCCCTGAGAAAACCAAGACGCTCTCCACGGTAACAGCGATATACGATGTGGGCTGTTTCTTCGGGGCAATCGTTGCCTTCACAATCGGAGAGCAGCTAGGACGAAAAAAGGCGATCATGCTAGGAACTACTATTATGGCTGTTGGGGCTGTGCTGCAGGCGGCCTCTTTCAGCTTGGCCCAAATGTTTGTAGGACGCATTATTCTGGGGTGAGTAAACCGCATTAATCACATATTAACCTGTCTCAATTCCGTCGCATTAACGACTTCGCCACTAATAGTATCGGCAATGGAATCAATACCGCGACTGCGCCTATCTGGCAGACCGAGACATCGCAGTTGAAATGGCGTGGTAAACTGGTCATTTTTGAGATGATGATGAATATCTTCGGCTTCTGCCTCGTCAACTGGATCAACTATGGTCTCTCTTTCGTCGGTGGTTCCATTGCTTGGCGTTTTCCGCTGGCATTCCAATTCTTCTTCTTGATTATTCTGTGGTCCACTACACCATGGCTTCCTGAATCGCCTCGGTAAGTTTCTTCTCTTCCGACTTTCCCTGGACTTGCTAACAGTGTATAGATGGCTCATAGCCCATGGGAGACAAGAAGAAGCTATAGTGGTACTCAGTTGTCTCGAAGCAAAGCCCATCGACGACCCTTTTGTCATCGCGCAGCGCAACGAGATTGAATATAGCGTGCGGTACGAGCGCGAGTATTCCATGCGGTGGCGAGACCTGTGGAAGAAAAAGGGGAACGACAGCAAGACCCTTCGCAGACTTCTCCTCGGGGCTGGCAGCCAGTTCATGCAGCAATTTGGAGGAATCAACATCATGTCATATTATCTGCCAACGGTGCTTATGGACGTGAGTGGTTCTCCCATTGCATATGGAAGACTCTGTATAACGAGCTAACGCATGATTTAACATAGTCCGTCGGACTGTCCGACACAATGGCCCGTCTGCTAGCAGCATGCAACGCCCTATCCTACCTTGTATTCTCCGGCCTTGCAATCCTCCTAGTCGAGAGAATGGGCCGCCGAGGCTTGATGCTCCTCTCCACATTCGGGCAATTTCTCTGCTTCCTCATCATTACCATTCTGCTTCGGTTCTCACGTATTAGCGACAACGGCGAGAAATATGCCTCAGCATCAGTTGCATTCTTCTTCCTATACTACGGCGCATTTGGCATCGGTATGCTCGGTGTGCCTTGGCTATACCCCACGGAGATCAATTCTCTTCCCATGAGAACGAAGGGAGCGGCTGTTGCGACTGCTACTGACTGGTGTGTTTCTTGTCCTCTCTTCTCAGGTCTATTGCTGACTCGTAATGGAAAGGATAACCAATTTCGTTGTGGTCGAAATAACTCCGATTGGAATCAAAAGTATAGACTGGAAATTCTGGATCGTATGGACGGTGACCAATGCTGCTTTTCTGCCGATTCTTTACTTCCTTTACCCTGAAACAGGTTTGTCCGGCTTCTCCGTTGCGACAGGGGTGTATTCACTAATGGATGTGTGCAGCAAACCGAAGCCTGGAGGATATGGACGAGTATTATCGGTCCAATCCAGCATTGATCGTCACCAAAGATCCAGATGCCATCTGTCGACGACGGCCGCAGAAATATGTTCAGCGGGAGGAGGATGAGATTGAGAAGGCTGCTGCTGCTGTTGATAAGGGGGCAGGGGAGCATGCGGAGTGGACAAGTGAGATGAGGGATAAGAATTGATGAACTTCATTCGGTTGACAGGGGCTGGGATATGAGCATTGTTGGTGAGGGTTATCTGGTTTTACCCAGATCTGCCCCAAGATTGATGGTTAGCTACAACGATATATTTAGAACTGGTTGCTATGAATTTACGTTGCTTCAGAATCAATATCTACATTCCACTACTGAAGAATAACATGCAGTAGAGCTACGATACTACACAACGGGTTAAGACTTAGGGCTACAGATTCTTAATCATATCTATGGAGAGCCCTCGCATTCTCACCAGGACTTCCAGACATCAAATAACTCTCATCTCCAGTATTATATGCTAGAACCTGATCCATAACCAGAGGCTAGTATCGGCTACCTCTCACTAGACCACTAAATAAGGAAAACAGCCCCCAGTTTGCAGACAAATGGAACCGGGTTTACCAAAGCGCCCCAGACATCGGTCTATTCGCCGAAATCATAAACACCTCAAAGAGTATGTGTGGTGGTTATTTGACCCACAGATGCGGCCAAATTACAAATCCTAAGTATGGAAATCGAGCCGAGTACTACCCCAATCAGCCCACTTGTCGGGCCTGTAGTTTCGACTCGGATACCCTCGGACTTTGGAGCGATACGATTAGAAGAGCACTTCGCAAGGAAGTCCGATATATCCTTGCACTTACTCTGTATATAATTGGCATGAGTATAGCATCATGATCACTTCTAGTTACAATTCTCTAGGGCACGATTAAGCTAACTGTCAACTGTATTAAAGAGTAACAAGCATGGCTCGACAATATCTCAAATCACGCGCCAGTCCCTCAGGCACGACGCAATCACCCTCAATCAACGTATCCGCCGTCGTCGAAGAAGTGATTAGCGCAGTTCGCGCAGACGGTGACGCTGCTGTTAGAAAGTACTCCGCGAAGTTTGATAAATGGTCACCAGACAACTTCAAGCTATCCCAAGCCGATATCGAGGCTGCGATAGCTAAGTGTCCTGAGCAGACCATCGCCGACATAAAAGAGGTCCAGAGAAATGTGAGAGCTTTCGCAGAAGCACAGAAAAACTCGTTGAAAGATTTTGAAATTGAAATTCAACCTGGAGTGCACCTCGGACAGAAGAATGTACCGATTAATACCGTTGGCGCGTATGTTACTATCTCTTCTTTTTCACATAAGGCGGCCTGCAGGTATATTTATTCTCCTTGTCTGATAGCTAACAACATCGCGAAATTATAGGTACATCCCAGGCGGCCGCTACCCACTCCTGGCATCAGCACACATGACAATCCTTACTGCCAAAGTCGCCGGCGTAAAGCATGTCATCGGCTGTACACCCCCGATCAACGGCGAGATCCCGCATAGCACGATCGCAGCCATGCACCTGGCAGGGGCAGACGAGATATTCCTTCTGGGAGGCGTTCAAGCAGTGGCCGCCATGGCTGTCGGCACCGGGACAATCCGTAAAGTTGATTTCCTGGCTGGTCCCGGAAACCGCTTCGTAGCCGAGGGCAAGCGGCAGCTATTTGGCGAAGTTGGTATTGATCTCTTTGCTGGTCCCACCGAGATCCTCATCCTGGCGGATGATACGGCTGATCCGTTCACGGTGGCTACGGACTTGATCTCTCAGGCTGAGCATGGACCAGATACTCCCGCCGTTTTGATTACGACGTGTCCCAAGGTTGGGCGGGAGACGATTGAGATCGTCAATAAGCTGCTTTCTGCGACGGATTTGTCAACCGCAGACGTGGCGAAGGTGTCATGGGATGCGTTTGGGGAGGTCATTGCTGTGGATACTATGGACGAGCTCTGGGAGCTGGGCGATGACTATGCGAGTGAACATGTCCAAGTGTTTACGAAGAATCCCAGAGATGCCTTGACCAAAATGTCCAATTACGGGGCGCTGTTCCTGGGAGAGAACACATGCGTATCGTACGGTGATAAGGTAAGTACTCCGAATGCTGGACAATGGATAAATGATATCTTGGTGAAAGTAGACTAACAGACTATTTAAGGTAATCGGAACGAACCATGTCCTCCCCACTCGGACAACTGCTCGTTACACTGGTGGTTTGTGGGTCGGCAAGTATCTGAAAACATGCACTTACCAAGAAGTCACCTCGCCGGATGCTAGTGGAAGGCTCGGGCGTTTGTGTGGACGGGCTGCTCGAGCTGAGAGGTTTGAGGCTCATGCGCGATCTGGCGACCTACGAGCCAACAGGCATATGGGGGATGATATTGAATGGATTAGGAAAGTCTGATTGGACGAAATGAGGGATATCTATAGTGTGGCATCAGGAACCTATATACTGGCCAATAGTGATACCGTGTATGCAGGGCTTTGGCACATAGGCCAAGAGTATTGTGTAGTAGTTAAGCATGGAAGTTTACGCTTGGCTCTCGCAATTACTAACGCACTCAGAAAGACATCCAGACAATAACAAAAGTCTAATTATGTATCACAATCTATATATAAACAACAAACTCCGCATAAACGTTCTGAAAAGATACAATAAGAGGGGACTGTCTCTATAACCGACGTCGCGCTAAAGCAATAGCCATGGCACTCTCTGGGGAGTGCGTGATACTAACCTGGACCTCCTCTACCTTCTGTGCATCGGCAGCGGATTTGGCCCGGTTGTGAAGCTAAGCAATGGTCAGTTATGATGACAGCAAAGGCGGCCTCGACTTGGGTATACTTACCAGAACGGTTGGAGGCTGTGCACCGTTGCTGATAATCTCAATATCTCGCATCGCAGCGCCAGGGCCTTCCGATGGTATCTGGAGGCTCTTGAAAATCGCTTCCTTGGCCGCCCAGCGCCCTGAAAGGCTCGCTTGTTTATCTGGGCTGCCCTCGCAGTACTTGAGCTCACCTGGCGTGAAATTGCGTTCCAGGAATATCTCATCCTCCACATTGACGCTCGAGATAGACTCAATATCTACACCAACAGACACATTGCCCTGCTCCTTGCTTATACTGTCGCGTAGCCATTGATCGGAAGACCTGGCGAAGAGCTGTTTGTCGTCGGAAACGATCCTTGCAGGTTGGGGCAATGCACCTGAGCCAACCGTCGTCGGAAAATTGTATTCACCAGTAGGCTTCTGGGACACACGGGCCTGGGGATCAAGAAAGACGTCCTTTTCTTGGTCGCTCGTCCAGGCTGACTGATCTTTGATCTGGAAGAGACGGCCCTCTGACATGCGCTTTTGGAACACGGGGATAATCTTCTGCTGGCGTTGAAGCACCCGCTCGCGATAATCTTCGAATCGATTGGCCGGGATAGTGGAGAAGAGATAGCGAGGGGCAACGCCTACCACGAGGCCTCCCTTTTGTCCAAAGCCGAACGATGTCAACATGAAAGCCTTGATGCCAGATGTATGGATGGTCTGTGATGGATAAACCAGATGCTTGAACTGCTGGAGCGCCACGTCGACATTATCTGCATTCCTGTTTCCGGGTACGATACCGGTTTGGAGAGCCTGGAGACAGCCATTGAACATCCAGGCGCCTGCGGCACCCTTCGGATGACCGGTCAGTGACTTCTGGCATATGACTAGAAGTGGATTGCCAACCGTGCGTGACAGGTGGGTCATTTGCTGGTTGATAACGTTGCTTTCATTCTTGTCATTTGCCTTGGTTGACGTGCCGTGGAAGGACGCCACTTGAATGTCGTCGACACTCAATCCCCACGTTGCCAGTGCGGCGCGCATGGGAGCAATGGTGGGATCTATATGACGGATGTTGTTATTCCATGTCCACTGAGCATCGCGGATACGAGACGCGGCGATGTTGTTGATGTGTTGTAGGTGCGCATCAAGATCTTTGAACTCCTGAGAGGTTGTGGACGCGATGAGCTTCTGGGATTCTTTGTGACGCCATCTCTTGATTTCAGAAACAGCTTCGTCGAGTCGTGCCTTGCGGTATTGCAGATTCAGTAAGGGTGACTGCGCCGCATCAAGGCTTTCCCTGGCGGCAGTGAGTACACCTTGACCAGGCGCAGGCACAGACCGGCCGACTTTGTCGCCTGCCATCTGGGAGTAAGCAACAATTCCATAGATTGGAAGACCCATCTGCAGAGCCAGCTCGGCGCTCATAACCACTTGGATACCACAACCAGCGGACTCAACGAATCCACTGCGTGAAGATGCTGTAGGCCGAGACATTTCCGAAGGAAGATATCCCTTCTCCATCTCGTCCTCTGCATTCGCCGTGGCCTTCATGTTACCGAATTCATAGGACATCTCCTCCTGGAAGTCATCGGAGCCACCAACAATTGCGACCTTGGCCTTGAGTGTCTGGATTGCTTCACAGGCTATATCCATGGATTCCACGGAGGTTGCACATGTACCTGAGGGAGACTTGATAGGACCAGCAGCACCCATCAAGAGCATATTTGTCCAGGCATTCATGGCGTTGAGGAAAGATTCCTGGAGAATGTCACTTTGCACCGGTCGATCAAGGTATCTGTCCCGATACACGCCACGCATAGCCAGCAAGCCACCGGCTCCAGTGCCGACGCAGTTAGCCAACTCCGATACATGGATGTGGCGGTACAGCTCAAAGGGATCTTCCAGCCCGGCACTATACATGGCCTCAGAGACGCAGCATAGAACATAGACTGTCATGGGATCCACCTGGGCGACAATGTCCTCGGGAATTCCGTACCGAGTTGGATCCCACCCAGACGGGAGCTGACCGGCGACAAACCGATTGAACGCCATAGCCTTGGGTACCATGAAAACAGCTCCACGCTTAACCACGACTTTGACAGATTCGGAACCTTCAAGCGGCGTCAAAGTGACTTTATCTCCATGGCGCAGCTTAAATGCTTGGGCGACACCCTGGGGAGCTTCAAAGGGAGGAAGGTCCTCATCAATGACCACTTCGTGCATGATCTCTTTCTGGGATGGATCATATCCCTCCGACAGTTCAGGTTCTATTACACGAATTCCAGCGTGGCTCAAGATATGCTGTCCATATTTCTCTTCGATATCTGCCTCTTCCACGGGTTCTTTTGTCTTGGAGTCCACCCAGCCAGCGTATGGCTTCCCTTTGAGGTCGCCGTCAAAGTGCTTAATGAGGCCCATCATCCATGCCAGTTCGGTATAACCTTCCAGTGACAGGCGACCGTCATGTTCCATCTCCCAGCGTGTGCGCGAAGATCCCCAAGGGCCCAGCTCCGAATAACCTACCACCACCACAGTACGGGACAGATCCACCATCCCCTGCAAGGACTGAAGTCCAGCCGTTACAGAGCTATAGTCTGACAGAGGTGGAAAAGCTGGTTCGATGTTGGAGCGGTGTTTGAGAGGAGGTCGAACATTATCATCAGCAGGCTTCGTCCCTTGAAGAACCTTTTGCTCGTGTTGATTTTCGGCGACCAACGCCTGGCGGATACGGCTTTGCGAGACAATCTTTTTGCGGATTCCCGAAATCTTCTCCTTGAGGTCGCTGACCCCTTGAAGACCTCCACTCAGATCCGCATAGATCGGCTCGTCGTCCGCCACTTCGAGTATGTCACCTGACAGAAGAGATAGAATATTGAAAGCCATCTCAGGGGCAGAGAACGTCAGTATGTCCAAGGAATCCTCCATACCCTGGGCGACGATATTGTTGGCACTCATCAGGCCCGTGCCGCGGGTCCAGCCGATCACGGCACCGATAATGCAGAGGAAGTCAGACCAGCCCTCTGAATGGAAACGATTGAACAGGGTCTCGAGTCCCAGTTTGGACTCAGAATATAAGCCGTCTCCACCGAAGTTACCATGGTTAGGAGACAAGGGCAACACAACACCTGTAGGACGACAATCGAAACCCCGTTTCTCCTTTTGCTGTTTGATGCATCCCAACAAGCGGAGCAGATTAACCAACATAGCACGGTGCGCCAATTCTGACTTAGAGTCAATCTTATCAATCTGCCGCCCAATCTCGGAGATGGCCGCAAAGGGGATGATAAAATCGAGGTCCCACCCGTATCCAGACTGCTCATCGTAGATGTGGTTGATTAAATCGTCGCAGTCACGCTTGCTGGCTTGGTTGAATGGCAGCACAATCAATTCTGACCCAGGTGCACCGACCTTAGCATACAGCTGGCGGAAGGATGCAGCAACATCTGACGGCTGTCGACTGGTGGTGACGATGACGCGCGCTCCACCAGCCAGCAGCCCGGCCACGATGTCTGCTCCGATCGAACCAACTCCAGCACCGGTCACCAAGACTCTTCGACCCGCAAATGACAGTCCGGTAGATGCTCCAGCGGATAGGATATTCAGAAACATATCTGTGAGCTGGGCATCATACTTCCAATCCACACCGGCTCGACTGCGGAGATGCGCATAGGGCACGTTGCGGTGTGGGCCAGCAACTACCTGCGCGTAGTTCAGAACCTTGCTTTCGCCGTTGAGCTGATGGCGAGGCACCTCAGAGTACTGGATCCGCCCGTTTGCATCGACTTTCGTCTCGGGTGCCATAGCAGGCTGAGTATAACGGAAGACGGGTCCGTTGGCTACGCCCGAAGCACGAACATCATCAATCAGCTTCTGGGCCTTCTCCTTTGTCGTGTCATCCTGGGCAGTATGGTCCAGCATTTGCTCCAATTCAGGTGACCACCGGTTGACAAGGCTCTGGTATCGCTGTGAGGTCTTGTCCACGGCGACAGGACGGATATCATGCAACAAGGCCATGAGGTCCTCTCTAGCCGTGTTCCACCATGAGTCATAACGACGAGCCTTGCGCGGGTCGAAGATTGTCCGCATGCCGGTGAGAAACTCTTCATCAAATTCTGCATCCCATTCAGCCAATCTATCGGTATCCTCTCCTTGCACCTTGGTTTGGCTGGGTGGCTCCACGCCATCCAAATCCAAATGCTTCGCCAGAAGCTGAAACTGCTTGTGTAAGTACTCATTCTGGTTCTTCTTGAGAGTTTCAAGGCTAGCCAGGTCGACCTGAGCCACAGCAGAAGTCTGTGCCGTTGCGCCCTCCGCCCTCTTCTGTACGGCGATGCCTGCCTTTCCGCCGTATCGGCTCACCACGGAGTCTAGGAACTGCGTTGCCTGAGCAGCGTCTGCAAGGCGAGCAGCTGGTTCCATAGTTACGGCATAGCATAGGACGGTGGTCTGTCGGTTGGGGCCTAGCCCCCAGTGTGAAGAGAGGTATTCTCTGATTTTGGCTTGGTTGAAGCCAGCAGGCATGCGGGCAGCTACGAGGCGATCAATATGTCCGCCCATCACCTTTCCAGGTTGTCCGGAGAAGTTTGTGAAGTGGGAAGCTAGTGCTTCTAGCGCAAGATCTTCACTTCCCTCCGGTAGACCGCGAAACTCTGCATCCAGCTGTCCGATGAGTTCATTCTGTAACGTGGATTTGCCTAGTATGGTTAGAGTGAGCACGCCATGGGCAACGATCGAGACGGAACGTACCAGCAGATAGATCACGGATAGACTTCGCTGCAGGCACCTCATCAAATGCTTTGCGGATCTTCTGAGCTACTATGGAAATAACAACGTCGATTGCACTCAAATCGACATCGGGTACGGAGACAGCTTGCTGGGCAGCCGCCTGGGGTGCCGCTTGGACTACCGCTGGAGGCGCGGCCACTGGTACCGGAGCAGCAGCAGGGGTGGAAGAGGTAGCCGGTTGAGCCGGTTCATCAATAGCGCCCTCCACTGGTGGCTCCTCATCGTAATGGTAGTAGATATGCTGTGCGTCGTCGGCGTGCGATAGGTACTGCCGGTCTATGCAGCGCACCAGATCCTGTTCCCCATATTGGCCCTTGGCTGTCTTCTTCGCCATATTCGCCAGGACATTGGAAGGTCCCACTTCAATGAAGCGCTGGATAGTATTATCTCGTTGAATTAGATCATTTTGTGTCTCAATCCTAATCATTCTAGTCAGCCTTTGGGTGCCATGTTGGTAAAGAGGGAGTCTCACCATCGAACTGGAAAGGCAAATTGGTACCTATGATATGTTAGCATCTCAAAAGGTTCGTAGGATAGGGAACATACGACAAGAGTTCAATGAGTAATGTGTAGGCTCTAAGCTGCTCCGACGGTGGCTCCTTGCGTTGAACCATTTTCTATTGTGCAATCAGTAGAGTCTCTTGCTAGCGGAGCTGTTGTTGTGGTGCTTGTCGTGGCCGTCGTTCCAGTTATCGTAGCTGTCGTCGTGGGTATCTATGGCAAGACACAAGTGATTATATTAGAGGTAGAGGGGGCATGAACATCTAAATAGACTTTCTTCACAATATCAAGCCAGAACACTAAGAATAACGTTATCTGCAGGCTTCTTGCAACATCGTTTGATCCCATCGGCCTTTTATTGCCACATGTACAGGGCTCCCGAGGTCACGATACAGCAATAGCGAGCCGGCGTATGCGATAATCAAGATCCCCGGTACACAGCTCAGGGAGGACCATGACCAATCCATAGTCCGTAGACTCTAGAGCCGCCTCGAACCCGAGATAACGATGTTACGGTTAACTATTGTACAGCGGGCCCTGAAACCCCCCCGGAGATCGTTGGATCGCTCATCGGCCGCCGTTCGCCGAGATCCACTCACAACGTCCATTCCAACCCGGAATCATTATAGAATCCGATTTACAGTCATGTACAAGTCGGACGCAATATTGATCCGATTCATGGCTATACGATTGTCTACTTTGATGACATAAATATGGCACGTTGAGACCATCAGACGTCAACAAATAGACTCCCGACTACATCCTCATCGCCTCTTACCATTATCATCCATCGCCCAATCGTCCGTCATGACCGTCACCCAAGAAACCTCCCCTAAGCGGGAATCTCTTCACATTATCGATGACCGTACTGGAGCTTATTACTCAATCCCCATTGTGAATAATGCCATCAATGCTAGCGATTTCAAAAAGGTCACCGCGCCAGAAGACAAAGTTTATCCTGCCAATCAAACGGAGAATGGCCTGCGAGTTTACGACCCAGGCTACTCTAACACCGCCGTTAGTCACAGCAAGATCACATATATTGATGGGCTCAAGGGCACCATCCAGTACCGCGGGTACTCCATCAATGATATTGTCGGGCGCAAGACGTTTATCGATACCGCGCATCTCCTGATCTGGGGTCACTGGCCGACAGCCGCCGAAGCGGAAACCCTTCAGCAACGCCTCGACCAGGTTCCTGTCCCTGAGAACTTTGTCTTCAATGTGGTCAAGTCCTTTCCGTAAGGCTTCCTAAAACTCATTGCTTCCATGTGTGCTCCTTGCTGACCTGTAACAGACGAGATGGTTCCCTTATGGGGATGGTCATCGCCGGTCTATCCGCCCTCCAGTCCAGTGATATGGATGCGATCCCGGCTCATGTGGGAAAGACGATCTATCTGAACAATCCTGAGCTGGCTGATCAACAAATCATTCGGGTCATGGCAAACATGTCTATGTTGACAGCGGCGGCATACTGCCATCACATTGGGCGTGACTTCACTCCACCCCGCCAGGGGCTATCGTATATCGAGAACTTCCTGCTTATGACCGGTCATGTGGAGGCAGCTACTGGCCTGCCAAATCCGCGATATGTGAATGCCATTGAGCGACTTTGGGTACTGATTGCCGATCATGAAATGACCTGCTCCACCGCGGCCCTTCTTCAAACCGCATCCGCCCTCCCGGATGTCATCTCCTGCATGGTCTCTGCCATCTCAGCATTGTACGGTCCTCTCCATGGCGGAGCCATTGAAGTGGCTTACAAGAACATTGAGAGCATCGGCTCCATCGCCAATGTACCTGCCAAGATTGCCCGAGTCAAGGCAGGAAAGGAACGTCTGTACGGTTACGGCCACCGAGTCTATCGTGTGACAGATCCCCGGTTTGTCTTCATTCGTGAAATCCTCAATGAGCTGTCTGAGGAGGTCGACAAGGACCCCTTGTTGAAAGTTGCATTCGAGGTCGACCGTGTTGCCTCCGAAGATGAGTACTTCACGTCCAGGAATCTCCGGCCCAACGCGGATTTGTTCGCCGCTTTTGTCTACAAAGCTCTGTATGTTGCTTTCCCGGTCCTTGCTAGATCATAGTCACACTAATCTTGGGTCTTAGCGGTTTCCCACCCGAATTCATCCTGCCTCTGTCGATTCTCTCCCGCACACAAGGGTTTATGGCCCACTGGAGGGAGGCCATGGGTATGCCAGAGTCTACCCTGATTTTGCTTAGAAGCATCTGTACTGACACGATAGTAGGCAATCCCCCTCGAATCTGGAGACCGGGTCAGATCTATACTGGTGACTTGAACAAGTCCATGGATGAGTGATTCTGCGAAGTTTCTCTAGAGCCTATTTAGTGATTTCCTTGTGCCTGTTTGATAGCAACTTAGACGACCGATTGTTACTGTGATGTACATTTCAAATTTTATTTCTTTTCTGGTTTCCTTTCCGCTTCGTTTTCTCCCGTGACAACGTTTCAGGAGTACAACAAGTAGTTGAAGTTAAACACTTCTTGCTTCATGTGCCCCAACGTCAAGCGTAAGCTATGTTCGGAAATTTTTGGATTATTCGGAGCATTGTGGATGGTCAATAAGATTGAGCCCGAGATTAGAAAAGTTTCCAGTGTCTTCCGAAGGGTCCACCTGCATATCTATCGTGCTTCGTCTCCTCGTACTCGGGTCTTAGCGCTGACATTTTCTCGGGGATCGCGTCCGACACGCATCGCTCGTTCTACTCCGAATTCTAGAACCGGGGTATAGTCGTAGATAATTTCTGTCACAGTTTCTACACGTAGTATAATTACGCTGTTCCATCGTATTCTTGACCACTTCCCTCATTCCAAGTCAATGGCAGTGTTGGCGTATTTATACATTTAACCAATACCCTCGCCCGCAAAGCTACAGACAATTGCACAAATAGCGTCCATATTACAGACCATCATGGCTGAAGAAGAAGTAAACGAAAGAACGAGACTGCTTTCTCAGTCTGATGTAAGTTTATCGCTCAGCGTCTAGTCGTGTGTAAAGCTAATTGCCCCAAGGACCCTTCTCCTTCTCTGGAAGAATTGGAAGAGTGGGAAGAGCCTCGCAATTGGACGGTTTCGTACCGCTGGCTCTGTATTGCCGTAATTTCGGTATACGGACTGATCAGTCCAGTCATCGCAGCAATCATTGTGCCCGCCATGCCGCAGATCGCCACAGACTTGAATGTTACCGACCCAGGAATGCTGCAAGCTTTTGTTTCTGTGTATGTCCTTGGCTGGAGCTTCGCGCCGCTGGTGGTCGGTCCATTGTCAGAAGTCTACGGGCGGATATCCTTGTTAAATGCAGGGCATGGCCTGTTCCTTATCTTCAATGCCTTGTGCGCATTCGCCCGTACCGATTACCAGTTGCTCATTCTCCGGTTTATCACGGGGGCCGTTGGTAGCGCTCCATTGTCGGTGAGTAGGATTCAGCTGTATATTGATCGTCGTCTGACGGGCGGAATAGATAGGCGCAGGCATAATTGGTGATCTATGGGCTCCGGAAGAGCGAGGCCTTTCCATTTCCCTTTACACCCTGGGGCCCCTGCTTGGTCCTGCCATCGCACCCATCACCGGCGCATACATCGTGTCGCACACGTCATGGCGTGCAATATTCGCGTGGTGCTCTCTTTACATCTTCATCACATGGGTGCTAGGCCTTTGTACACTCCGAGAGACCTTCCGGCCAGTCCTGATCCAGCGTAAACAAGCTGCTGCGGTCCGCAAGGGCCAACTGCAGGGCTCCCCTCAACTGCACCATAAGAGTCTAGCAGATGTTTTCAGACAGGATCTCCGACGACCCTTCACGTTCCTCGGAACACAGCCCATCATCCAAGTCCTGTCCCTTTTCATGGGCTATCTCTTTGGCCTCAACCACCTATCCATCACTACTTTCGAGTCTGTCTGGACAGACATCTACAACCAAACCCCATCCCGCGCAGCACTGAACTACATCTCCATCGCTGGTGGCTTCATCCTCGGAAGTCAAATCACAGGCTCCCTCAACGATCGGGTAATCTCCCCTATCCCCCTTTCCCATCCATCCAGATATCTAACCAGCGCAGATCTACATCTATTACACCTCCAAAGACCCGGCCAAAGGAACCCCAGAACTTCGAACAATCCTCATGCTCCCCGCCGCTCTACTCGTTCCCACCGGCCTGTTAATCTACGGCTGGTCCGCCCAGACCCACAGCCACTGGCTCATTCCCAACATCGGAATTGGTATCTATGCCCTTGGCCTGATCATGAGTTACCAGTGTATTCAAGCCTATGTACTGGACTGCTACGCGGTGTATGCCGCGTCGGCAATGGGTGCGCTAACGATCCTGCGCTCGCTGCTGGGATTTGTTTTACCCATTCTGGCTCCCTTGATCTATAGAACGCTTGGCTATGGATGGGGTAGTTCGCTACTAGCACTATGGGCTTTGGTGATGGGCGGGCTGGTTCCGATTCTCCTGTGGCGGTATGGCGCGATTCTGCGAAAACGGAGTGGAATTCTCGAGGAGATGTAGATGGTTCTCTGATTCATGTTATGTTCATGACGGAGGATGGAGATCCGTGGATGCGAGCAAGCTGGTGAAGGGTTAAGTTGGAGGTTGAATGTGCTTATGCTTTGTTTGCTTTTCTGTTTGCATTGATCTTTTGCAAAAGCCCATTTTCTATATAGACCATGCTATTGTTGCTTTTTTTAAAAAAAAATGATATTTGTCATGCTTTCCCTAGGCGTTACACAATATATATCTGCTCTCTTGAATCGTCTGCGGGTAGTAGACTCAATACAAGGGGTGGGCGCCATCTACCTAGACACACTTCTCGAATTGCCACCATTCGTGTCTGAACTAATTCATTCCATTCCGAGGAAATGTGTATTGGTTTCATTATCTAAGGGATCTCATATCCCTCTTCGATGCCTCAATTGATATACTCTTCGTCGATTTCCTTGTGTCTACACTTTATACACACTAACCAACTATACCACTCGTATGCCATGCTAGAAGGGAAAGGACGGCTCTCTTCCTCTGACTCAAGAGCTGGTAAAGCCGTGCAAGGCATATTGTGTCTTTTACTGTTTTTGAAATGGAAACATTCATTTAGATTATTGTTTCATTTTAACTATGACGCTGGTGGAAAGCAGCCTTATATCCTCATACTATGGACTTGTAATGTGAAAGTATAATTACACTATCTGACCATCTTATATATTCACCAGCGCGCTTGAATCAGATATTTTTTCTTCTCTGTCTGTAAGATCTATATAACAATAGTAAAGAGAGCTTGAAGCAAGAAATATGAAATGAATGAAACACAATTCCTGACTTCCTATAATCTACGCAGAGCAGTAGTAATACCATCTACACAACAAAAGTTTGTATAACATAAAAGCACTTGTTCTCATTCTATGGAAAGAAATCTATGAAAATAAACATATCGCAACATTCATCAGGCCAATCAACTAACAAAGCAAACAATATACTAATCACCGTGAGGCACGACAGACAAACAAGTGCGCAACAAAAGAAAGATCAGACAGTCACTTTCCACAATCACTTAGCGGCAGCAGCCAAAGCCTCCTGGCGAGAAGGGCTGTTAGGGTCCAGGTAAGGCTGCTCAGCAATACCCATGGTGCGGAATCCCATGCGGCCTCCGAGACCGTAGTGGTCCTGGGTAGGACAGTGCAGGACGCAACGGTTGTCCCAGATAGCTATCGACGTTAGACAGGGTATCGGACCATGGTTTGAAGATGTTACTCACCAACATCGCCGGGGTTGTTCCAGCGGAAGCGAACTTGCAGGTCGTGGTTGTCGCCGACGAGGGAGATGATCTTGCTCAGGAGCTGTTCGCTCTCGAAATCGGTGACGTCGTTGACACGGCGGCAGTGGAGGCCGCCTGCGAAGAGAGTCTTCCAGCCTGTTACGGGGTGTGTGCGGACCATGGGCTGTAGAAGATTAGATGGGATCCAGTAAATTCAATTAGAGGAGAGGGTACGTACGTGGGACTGCTTGAATTGCATGTCGGTGTTGGCGGGGGCGCCACGAGGGCCATCGTAGATGCCGGGTTCGGTTTCGGCCAGCTTGCGCAAGGAGGGAACCTCATGCTGGGCGGTTAGGGACTCGAAGAATTTCTGGTAGGGGGTTGAGAGGCGGTCATAGAGCTCATATCCCGAGGCCCAGAGGGTGTCGCCACCTGAATCTGTCAGTATGTGGGGTGCAGTAATTTGGTAGTGGCTAGCGTACCGGTGGGGGGGATCTCAGTCATGCGGAGCATGGTGAAGTCAGGAGGGCAGACTTCATAGGAGCCATCGCTGTGGTACTCCAGGACGGCGCGCTGACGCTTCTGTGTGTTCTCGACGGCGTGCAGCTTCTGCTGGCGGCCGGGGTCGAGGATACCCATCTCCGGGTCATCCTTGCGGATGAGGTGGAGAGGGTGCTTGGACAGACGGTGGCCAGCTGGCTTACCAGACTGCACGCCCAAGCGGTGGGTGAGCTCCTTCTGGAGTTCCCCATCCAGGTCAGTCTGTGCACGGAAGAAGACAACGCCTCGTTGCGCAACTAGAGTAATCAGTTAGTGGCTGTCTTTGGTTTTTTTTTCTCGTTGCGAGTTAAGATGATACTTACTAGTAATAGCCAGGTCGCGCAACAGGGCATCGGCATTGGGCGAGGAGAGCCATTCAGCCAGGCTCGCCTTGGGGAACTCGGTACCAATGCAAGGTGTAACCTGGAAGGACTCGTATTGATCGAGAATGCCCGTGAGCTGCATAGGCTCGGGGTAGGTGACCTTGGTTGAGTGCATCTTGTGAAGATTGAAGATTGGTGGTTAGAATTGAGTTTGAGACGGTTGTTTTCTTGGTTGGTATTCTCGTATTCTTGTCGTGATGATGATAAGAACAAACCCACGGAAACTACGAGGCTATTTATGTCTTCATTTCAACGTGAAATCATGCCATATCGTCCATCCCATCCGACGGCGGTCCCATGAAACTGCTGTCGGAGCATGTCTGTATGTCTGCATGTCAGCATCTCTCTCTGCGCAACTCCAGTACTTCGATGTGTGCCATACGCGGATTCTGGTCCTTGGCGTACGTTCAACGAGCTTGGTGGACCTGCGTAGGGCGGAGGTTCATGGTCGGGGTCTCGGCGAGCGACACGCGGATACGAACGGCTTACTTGCTCCGACGACATACTTTCTCCGAATAACCTACTTTCTCCGGCGCTATGCATGGCTAATTAATCGTCAGCCTAATTTGAGTTGTGTCACAGAATCCTGCAGAATCCTGCAGGATCTCTGCACTTCAGGCCACCCTTGTTCAGCCCCTGACACAACGTGGTCTGGCCGGGGTGTGCCATGTGGTTGATGCATTGGCGAAAGTCTATCATAGTGCTCGAGCCTCGATGTATCTCATCTTGAACGTAAGATGATGAAGGATTCGGCCCCCAACAGGAGATTGGAAGGCAGTGTTATTCCTCAGCTGGACCTGAGTCTGTAGTTTACGCGATGGAGAACGAAGTATAAGTAGAGGGTATTTTCTCTGCTCATTTGGGTAGCATCAACATCCACTCCTCCAGTGTGTATCTTTAGAAACCATCCTCGAAGCACCCACGTGTTCGATCATGCATCTATCTCTGCGATTGGTCTCCCTGGCGCTATGCATAGCCCCGCTAGCATCTGCCGGGAACAATTCCACCCCCTTGGTTCAAGCCTGCACTGGCTACAGCTTCCCACGTGTCGCCTGCATGTACCGATATGCGTCGAAAATGCCCCTTGACTTCTACCGCAAGGCCAGCATCGACATCAGTAGCGTGGACACTTACTCCTCGACCGAGGTAGCCAATGACGACTCGTTCCAGCAGGTTGGAAAGGCCACATTCCTAGTCTGGGACCAAAAGCGTGGTAGCGAAATCCTAGGATCCGACCCGGCCTACGACATTGTGTTTACTATCTCGACTGGCGGGCACGAGGCGCCCGTATACGTCCCAGATACCAACGAGCTGTGGTTCTCGGAACTAGGCAAAGGGGAGCTACACCAGCAGGTCATCAGTCTGGATGGCGACTCCCCTACCATCTCCGAGGTGCTGACCGACCCACCCCTCTATGCTCCATCCGGGGCCCGTTATCGCAATGGAAAGATCTATTTCTCTGCTGGAGGTGGTAATTCCACCCTGGAAGGGGGTCCTTATCACCCAGGAATCTACTCGGTGGACCCCAAAACCCGCAAATCGACCATTGAGGTCAACAACTATTTTGGATGGTACTTTAACCAGGTAAGCATGCCCACCGCCACTACGCGACGCGGGTCCTCTTTGTCGCATTTATGCAGATTAGTGGATACACGCCCTAGTGAGTTTCACGGAGTAACTTTCGGACTAACGTTTGGTACAGGCCAACGACATGGATATCGACCAGCACGGTCGTATCTGGTTTAGTGATCCTTGTAAGTTCCTGGACCCGGGTATCCCACCTTAGTCCATACTGATTCAGCGATAGTCCTCGCCCGCAACCACGGTACCTCAACCGTCGCCCCTCAGGTCCAGGCATCAGTTTATCGGTACGACCCCGCAACTGGGGCAGTGAACATCGTGGATGACACCCTGCATTGTCCCAATGGTGTTGCTTTCTCTCCCGACTACAAAACACTCTACCTCACGGACACTGACGCCGGTGTCCCCATGATCGACCCGAGAGTGCCATTGAGCGAGGTGCCATCGCTCCAGTACAACTCCACCAACCGTCGCACGGTCTACGCCTTTGATGTGAGCGAGGACGGATCGTATCTCAAAAACCGTCGCCCGATCTACACAGCGAAGGACTTCGTTCCTGATGGTCTCAAGGTGGCTAGCAACGGATATGTGGTTACCGGAGCGGGTCATGGTGTTGACATCCTTGATACCACTGGCACACCATTGGTGAGCATCCAGACTAATTTCACGGCTGTGAACATGGTCTTCGGTGGCAAGAACTTGGATGAGCTGTGGATTGTTGGACATGGCGCTGTTGCACGAGCTAAACTGAACTTGACTGGTCCTGCTCTGGAGTAAAGAGTTGGATTTGTGATTGCCTTTCTCTTCATCCTCTTCATTTTTTGTGCTTTTTTTTTTTTTATATTCTTTCTTCCTTCCCTCTTTCTTCCTTTCTTTTGTCTTCTCTTTCTCTCTCTTCTTCTTCTTTCCTAGATATTTTTAGAATTTTCTGTCACACTATATGTGACCCATTCTCCACCGAGGTGGATATTTATTAGTGAAGGTCTTTATAGAGAACCAATTATACCATCGCTGGCTTTTTTTCATTTGACTTTTTCCAACCATAAGCACTAAAGTATTATGGAGACGAGCTTACTCCGTAGTCATTGCGATTTGTTGGTTCAGGAATGTTCTTGATTGGTAAAAAAAAATATGATCGGTCGATCAGAGGCAATTCAATTACAGCGTTAAGGAAGGGTTCTTTCAAAGGAAATGCCAGAAGATTATTTTTAGAGAAAAGAAAAGTAGAGTGCTTACGTAGAGTAGAATATGTACATGGGACGGAAACCCTAACCCTAAGAAAGCCTCAGCAATAGAGAACAAAACTCATACCATCATCGACTGAAGACAGAGGACTGGAGGCTGTAACATAATGAGAGTAACATAAAGAAGTGACAAGAACAGACAAAGAAAAGAAGTTTCTCAGCTAATACGAATTACATGAGCAATGTTCCTGAATTACTCACCAACCCATGAGATTGCCAAATGCTTGCATAAGACATGCGGGGCTCGGGCGCCGACCTCCGCCCACGGTTGAAACGACGCCGAGAAAACCACAAGCTTCCGAACCATCGTCCTCCGATGACCGACATCATCCAAACCACGGAAAACATAAATAACATCCCAATCATGGAGGTTCTTAATCCAACTCACTCACCACAAACAATCACTCAATCACTCAATCAATTCCTCAATTCCTTCATAAACAATCCACTCAATCCAAACCAAATCACACTTCAAAATGGGCTCCCTTCCTGAGAAAGACTTCCCCGAAGTCCACCGTTTCATCACGACCCACAAGGAAGATGGAACCCCCACCTTCGAGACCAAGATCCCCGAACCAATCGAATGGGAGCGCACCAACATTGGCGTCGATTTCTTCCTCGCCTACACCCTCGGGAGCTTTCCCGCTCCCCTCAGCCACGATGCTGACTTGAACCAATACAAAGAGCATCTCGTCAACCACCCTCCCTTCATGATTCCGGGTGGTGCAGTCGTGCGCTACGTCGACTACCACCCGGGCTGTGAGCCCATGTGGCATCGCACTGTGACCGTTGACTTCGGAGTCGTCATTGAGGGCGAGCTGGAGCTGGAGGTCGAGGGCGGCGAGAAGCGATTGATGAAGAGGGGTGATGTTGCCGTGCAGAGAGGTACCAACCACTGCTGGCGCAACCCCAGCAAGACCCAGTTTGCGCGCGCCTTGTATATTGCCATGGATGCCAAGCCGGTCATCGTCAATGGCCAAGCGTTGGGCGAGTCATTGGGCGAGGTTAAGCACTGAACTTTTTTTTTTTTTTTCCTTTGGTCTTTCTTTTTGAGAATGGGATTATGGAGAGAAAATGGTTTACTAGATATTGTTGTACATTGACGAAGGATATACTATCGTGAATTTTATGGTTTCTATCAAATGTGAAGCATTTCATTAGTCCATCTAAACGTACTGTCTAAACCAGAGAGATACACTAGTTATTTTTGAGGTAGAGCATTACGTCACTCCCCGTAGCCTTCTAATTCTAGCAGTATCATTACCGCCTAGTTGACCGCTCTCGGTCTATCAATTGCCAGCAAGATCGTACTCAGTTGAGACGTAACGTCATCATACCATTCTACACAACGAATTCAAGCGTGGTTTTACCGCCCTGATTTCTCTAATTTCCGCTTTACATAGCGCCAAGGAGTGTATGGTCATTGATCATATCTTCTAGTCCTTCTGCTGGGGGTGCAGTAGGAGAGACCTTAGAACTTCCTTACCGTAGCTTGTATAGTGCAAGATATAATTATATATCTCTCTCTCTGGAGAATCCAGACATCTCAATTGTTGACTCAATCAATACAAAAAGTTCAACTTTCTCCCTTTTTCTTAGCTAGACTCAACGACGTATCATATAAAGAATATATATCTAGAGTTGATCGAATTCTCCGAAAAGCTCGCCCCCATATTTAGGACTGGGACCAGATCTTGTAGTCTTTGATCTTTTCTTATATTACTAAAAAAATATGGCTATCCCAGTTTTGATACGAATCTCGGCCCATAAATCTTTTGGCATGAGCGTCACGGTACTATTCAAGTCTTTTGTCCCAGACTCCGCCAAAAGGAATGTGGCACAGCCGGTGTTCGTCGCTCATTTTTATTCGGTAATCCATGTAATAAATTTAGTACGTCTTGTGATGGTCGAACCAATGATCAGGCTCCGTCGCGAAATATACGCTTAATTCGGCTTAGCATGCTGATCAATTTATCTTGCCCAAGCCTAAACTCCATGCGGTTTAGGCTTGCGGATCACCAATCTTGCATCTGGATTTACCAAGCACATCTTGCGAGTAGTATAAGTAGAGGCAAAACATCAGTTGCGAAAGTAGGGAGTCATTCAATCATATCAAGTCCGTTTTACAATTGAAAATTGTCTGTTAGGACCTTGAAAGCCAGCCTCGTCCCCTTATTTTCCGTCATGAAGGTCTCTTCTTCTATCTACATTGGCATGCTGTTGGCTGCATCGGCGCATAGTCGCCCGCATTAGAAGAATAAATAGCGCTTAAACCATCAAACTTTCTTTATAGTCAGTCAACCTGACACCCACATCCCCCTTGAATCACTCATTTTTAGCTACACTTCCAAGACAAATGAAACAGACACGCTTGTAGTATCGTAGTCCATGAGTTACTAGGAGTGAACATGGTATTTGATTGTATAGGCCCTAACGCTGAAGCAGCTCATATAGTTTACTATATGGTTCTATGATTGGTAAACTTATCCAGGGAAATCACCTTATCATTACATGCCCGTATAATTGCAGCTATACTAATTGCCACATTAACCCGAGAAAAAAAGAAAAAAATAGCGTACGATCAACAGCCTGCTGAGTCCTTCCGCCAGTTATACTTTCTTACCACAGCTTTGAATCCTCGGACACAGGCCCAGCCTGCCATGCATTTTACGGTACCAGCGAGCTCTAGTGGAGAGCTCGTCCCGTCGTCAAGTCCCTTTCCCATTGCTCGTGCCGTGTGCCGCTGGTTCTCTAAAATCTTCACCAGGACCTTATTCAATGAGAGCTCCTCACCACGCGAATCGGTTAATAGAAAGTCCGGGGTATTTTTGTTCTCCTGTGATTTATAGTTAGTCAATAGCTCGGCTTTCATCGTCTCCAAAGCGACATAGAGAAACCAGTTCGAGTCAAAGGGCCCTTCCCGATGAGGCCAAGTCTGGAGAAGCTCAATCGCGCGCCAGCGGATATTAAGATCACGGCAGACCATGGCTGTGCGATATAGGGTTGTAATCACGCCATTGTTGATGCTAACGGCTGGAGGCTCGGGAAAGCTCTTAACGATTCTTTCCGCCAGTAAAACTATTTTCCGATAATCCGATGTATAATGTTCATATGCAGCTGTATTTCCACCCAGGAGGCATGTCTTCAGTGAGACGGCCAAGCCCAGCTGCTGTAAATAGAGCATGTCGGCCCCTCTTTGTTCTTTTGGACTAAGAGCCGAATATGAGCGACGATAAAAGTGATCGAATGAGTCCATGTACTGGCTTAGGCTTGACCACGCCGCCAGCTGTCCTAACTGTAGGGCTTCATAGTTGGACGCTATATCTACAGGAGACAGACCCATGCAAGGCCCGGTAAATTGATAGACCGTTCTAAGAGGGGTATTGAAGGCTTGACGGGCCTGTGCTAGGTTATCAAATGCTACACTGCCGCTCCCGCCCTGCTTTGACTCATCATCGATCGGCAGGCGGGACGCCTCGACCCCAAAGAGTGTGGACTGAATACCTAGGTGGTAAAAGGTCTCGACTAAACCCGGTTCGACGGCCTCCTCCCGGGGTACCCGGGAGACTGGAGCCTTCTGAGCCGTATACTCCTTTATGATTCGCAGACCACTTTTAAGGTGCTTAAAGGCATCATCGTACCGTCCCCGGAGCAAGTCCAACATAATGAAGAGCAAGCAGCAAATCAGGATGACATCCCGCAGGCGCGGATCCTGTGACATACGGCGCTTGATCAAACAGGAAAAAGCCCGACCTAGTTGCTCAAGGGCGAAGGAATTCCAAATATTATACGCTTCTTGTATCAACAATGGCATCCCTCTCATCTCCATGCCCTGATGGACAGCGCTCAGAGCGATCACTGCATGGTACACGGCTGGCTCGGACTGGCTCATCCAGAGAACAACTTCGCGCCAGAGCGATGAGTCGTAGAACTCGAGGATCATGGGAACTGTGCGATGCTGGAAGTACGATAAACATCGTCGCTCGTCCGAGGTCATTGGCCAGGTAGGCCTGTGAGCGATCACCAGGGTCACAGCTAGACCGGTGGCATCCACCCCGGCTTTCTTGGTGACAGGCAGCCGATGTACATCATATCCATCACAAACACGACCGGTTGAGGTGCAATTTCGACACCTATCTGGGGATTCATCGCATTTAATGTGGCGAGCACTGCGAGCGACAGTTAGAACATACCCACCCCACTTTTGGCACCTTTCCCACACAGCTCACCGGCAGGAACGGCATCCAGTCCTAGATTTCCTTCCCACTGTTCGATGATGACCAGTTCTCACCGGTGCACCGGATGACTGGAGCGACCGGCAGGGTTTCTGGATTTTATTCATTTAATAGCTGGCTCAGTAAAGGTAGTCCGCAGTAGACAGATAGGAATTCCTTCAGGGAAACTTGCAAAGTTGGAGGGGGATGCGAGAAGTGCACATTAGTGCACAGCTGAGAGAGATGGTGGGTGGTGGTTTTGGGGGGGGGGGGGAGAGAATGTTGGGATGCCAGCGCGAAAATCAACGGTACTCCCCCTTGAGGGCGCCTTAGCTGCCGTGACCGAGTGTCTGGGCCGGGTGCTGCCGATGATTACGTTAGGAGGCATGTATCAGTGCAGATCCGGTTGGTTCTAGGCTGACATTCGATTGGTTTGTCGGCTATAGGAGTAACGTAACCGGTAAACAAGCACCACACGTCATTTCTACGCGCCTTTATTTAATTTAATTTATTTATTTTGTTTTATTTTATTTTGTGTTATTTTATTTTATTTTCTTTTCTTTTCTTTTCTTTTCTTTTCTTTTTTTCAAAATTGTTCAACCACCAGCTATACTACCAAATAGAGTTGGCATCGGGTCGGGTCCAAAATCTGGGATCCGCCCCCGACTTGGCTCTGGGGAGGGTTTTTGATAGGCAGACCCGCTCTGATTTAACCCTGATCTGCATAAGCAGCACCAAGGCAAGACTTTTGCTCAGCCTCATCAGGCTAGTTAGTTAGTCTGGGGCTCAGCCTTGTGATCATCTGCTAGGAGCATTTCTATATTCTCCTCAGTCTCCTTCTTTTTCCTTCTATTGCTTTGTTACTGTTTGACCCTTCTGTCTATCGCTATTGCTATCGCCAGATAAATGTATCTTGATTTCCGATTTCATTGTCTCAGCAATCCCGGATAGATTCACCGTCTATAGAAACAGGTCTTGTCTGGACAGCAAAATAAAATATTGCACAACCCGGGGTGGCTTCCAGAGATACTGTCCGGATGATTTATTCTGCCCCAAGAGCTATAATTAGCAGCAACTATACCTGACAAAGACTGATTGCTATATATCCCGCCGATAAAAGCCTATACTGTGCAAATTTCTTCTGGTCACTGTTTCCAGATAACAGTTACTTCTATTGTAAGCCGAACTATAATGAATTTTGGTCCACAGATTCCGTGGACAGTGTGGGCTATTTAAATAGGGCCTCTACTAATAGAGCTTTTATTCACTTTAACCCAATTTTAAGAGATTTTTATTACTCGTTCAAGTAGTTACTACAGACCTGAAAGCTGACAAAGATATACTTGAACTCTAGGTTCATCTTCCTCCATCGCTAATCTCACAACCACCAGAGCATCCGCAACTTCGACAACTTCAAGCACCCCAGCGACCATGATTTCAAACCCCGTGGTCTCAAACCCTGTTTTGGGGACCAATAACTCCCACAGCAGCCACATGGGCGCGATTACAGGCGTGGTAATTGGTGGTCTAGCAGGTGCTGGATAATTATTGCTGTACTTTGATTCTATTCTCCAGCAGTACCAAATGCACATGATATTTTTTTGGAGCAGCAGAATCAAAGGCGGCTATTACTAGGGGCGCGAGATAAGAAGTGCCTCTTTTCCTGGGCTGTAACAAGTCGCAATGCTTCATTTGGGGAGGCTCTGCTACTCAGTCCGCAAGTCGACATCAATTTTCAGGGTTCCTCCGACCCAACTCCGCTTATGAATGCAATTGGTATGAATGGTAAACTAATTGTGGAA